TTTTTTTTTTCATTTCAGTAGAACAATAAAGATAAGTGTTCTACATGCTTGCTTAACACACACAGTTCGCCGGCCTCCTCCCCTCCTCCTCCTCCTCTCCCCCCTCTCTCTCTCTCTGTTCCTCTCTCTGCCGGCAGTGGTGAAATCCATCTCTCTATCGCTATCTCTCTAACATCCATTACATACCCCAGCCCCTCACCTCCCTACTCATTAGGCCAACGCACAGTAAATTAGCAGCAGCAATTACAGGGAATATAAAGCATAGGCTCTGCCGGGCTGCCTCTGACAGGTACCACACAGATCATAGAGAGACACCCACAGTCAGCGGGGATAATTACTGTGGGAAACGACCACACACCCTTGCGAGCACGAGTGGAAACCTGAAAGTGAGAGCCCGCTCTTTCTGGGTTTGCCTGCACTCACATGTCTTACTTTCAGGAGTGTGAGCGCATGTACAGATGCAGAAATGAGGCCTGCATGCACCTGTAAACACACACACACACACACACGAACATACTTTACAGAAAGTCAGGCCTGGAAAGAACTCACCTCCCTTCATTTCTCTATAATGTCCATTGTTACTATTTTTCCAACAGGGTATTATTAATATTCATCCCTCCTCTCCTTGTCTGGGTCTGCCTCCATTCTGAACCCCCCCCCAACCAACACCGCCCCCTCCCACTCCTATCCCATCCTCTCTTCTTCCCATAGCTTTTCTCTCCTTTCTTCATCCGGGATCCCCATGGGGACTCCTGCTTTTCTTTCAAATGTGCCTCTCTCTCTCTCTTTCCGCTCTTCCTCCCTTCATGTGTCCATGCAGGGAGGAGAATGAGAAAAGGAAGGAGGAGGAGAGCGAGAGATGTTGAGGAATATGTGCATTAATATATTTCATTAGGATAGCAGTAGCACAGAGGCTCCTGTACAGCACCTCTCTTGATGTGTGGAGCCTGTGCCGTCTGTATCCAGAGGAGCTGAGTTCTCCAGGAATAGCGTCTTTAATGTTGCGTCTCCTGAGGCCTGAGGTCTGCCGGCTCTACGCTGCCCTCGGCCTCCCACTCCTATTGTCCTCCTCCCACACTGACCAGTCTATCTGGGGCCTGAAAAGCTGCTGGAAATAAAGAGCAAAATGGGTTCACCTTTTGTCTGTGTGTATTTATGATTTATGAGCGTGTGTGTGTTGCAATGCTAGCCGCATTTGGGGGAAGTAGAATCCCTGGAGCCGCGCGGTGTGTTGCTCGGCTCGCTAATCAAAAACATTAGGCTCCAGGACTCATTTTCCCCAGCACTGAGTGTGTAACCTCCATAATTCAATATCCCACCTCTTACTGCTCAATCGAGCTCACTACACAACCCACTTTACTGTTTGTCAGCAAACTATCAACTCTCTTATTAGATGTATGGGAGAAAAAGCCCTGAGCAGTTATGAACCTATGGGCAATTAAGGAGGCAAACGCACACAGTGTTTACACGTCCTTATTTCATCAGTACTTCCAGGTCGTCCTCCTCCACTCCCCCACCACCACCACCCCTGTGCTACGGAAGCCTCCAGTTACCGTGGAGACCCTGGAACACTCTGAGGTCAGCAGAATCCTGGGATCCGCTGTTTTCACTAGTTAATCCAATCGCAGCCTCCTAAATTAGATATGCAAAAAATAAAAAAGAAATTAATTTTCTGCTGATGACCGGGTATGCAAATGATGACTCAATTATGGTGGGCTGGTGCGTTGGCAATTAATAACCTTGAAATCATCATTAACTAATATGTTTAGGAGGAAACTTGTCAGGCTAACCATGTTCACCATGCCATCAGTAATGCATTAATGAATTAGATTCATTGGAGAAAAGAGGCGGTGGGGGAGGGGATGCAGGCCTGCTTTTGACCTGTGGATTTACTCTTTGCTAGTTCTTCAGTTCTTCGTAAACCACCTGGCAGCTTTTTTAAAGAGGATGCTTGTGGTCCAAAAGGAAGAAAGTAAAAAAAAATACATTTTTTTTCTGACACCTTTATGAGCTGAAATGTGTTTTTTGGTCTCACACACTCCAAAAGCTGCGTGAAAATAACAAAATGACGACTGACAAGGTCACAGACAAGAGGTAACTTTAATTCAACATTGTGAGAGTCCAAAAGTTATCTTACAGCTCAATTTTCATCAAAAACAATAACAATCTATACAGTAGAATTTTTTTTCTTCCCTTATATCATAGAGCTGTTCAGTGTATTTGCAGTCAGACAAAACAGAGGAAAAAATAGACACCAGCTATTTGGTTTGCATCTTTTTTGTGTTTTTTTTTTTACCTAAATACAAAACTTTGTCACCCATTTACCAATATTCATAATCAGGATGGAACTTAGCTCACAAAGAAGCCATTGTATGACAACAGACCTCTGTAGTTCATTTGAAACAGATACGGTGTGGCCCCTCCCGCCCTGGCCCGACCAGTGCGGGCACACAAGTGCCTGAAAAACACTCGTCTGTCATCAGGCGCCTCTGTTAAAAACGCTCCTTTCTGCCCACTTAACAAAACCAGGCTCTAGAAAAGAAAAGCAAAGAGAAAAGCCCTATTCTCTGTCCAGCAACAGCTTGAAGACACACGGCAGACACAAAGAAAAGACTACAGAAATGGTTGAGGGGCCGAGGAGCTCCTTTCACGCTCCCTCGCTCGTTCTTGTTCTGTTTAGCTTGTAATGAAGCTGTTTTGTCCTAAGGCCGATACAGGGAGAGAGGGACTGTGTGTCAGATACCAGAGGTCGACCTACGACTTCATGTGTGAGATTGAAATTGTGCTGTGACAGTGCTCGTCTCCGCTGTGCGCCCCTTTTGTACTACAATTAACTCAGCGCTGTGTTGTCACACTGTTGTGATCCTGTGGTTAATGAGAAATATTACAAACATGCGGTTTGAATTATTTCATAAATCAAAAAAAGCTACATAATCGCTTCAAAAAGGACAGAAGTGCAATGAGCACAGCTCCGACGGGCCTCTCAGCGTCCTTCAAAGCGTGCCATTGCTGTAGTATTATAGTACATCAGGGTGTGTGTGATTGTTGAATTATGGCTCTTTGTATTCTAGTCTGGCTTCACCACCAAACAGAGTGGGTTTGTGCTTTGTCCCCAAGTTCCCATGAATTCCTCTGTGGCAATAGACAATTGTGGTGAGGGTAGAAAACTGTACACGTGATTGAATGAAGAATGGGTTTGCATTGTTAAGGCATCTAGACTGCTGGTAAAGATTACAGTGACAGAAAAAAAGAAAGAGTATATAGATACAGTCTGTAAGCAGGCATAAATAACGCAGGAAAAGAAAGAACAGAGGGAAAAAAGAGGAACTCAAAGAAAGAAAAACAGAGTAAAACTTTAGTTCTGTTGGTTTGCACACACAAAAAAGAAAGTGTCACTCAAGAGAGGAACCCATGCATATTATCAGTTCAAGAACAGTTTCAATCTGAAAGCCTCAAAGAGTTCAAACAAAAGATATAGATTTACAGTATATATTAATGTGTGTATATATTCTTAAAAAATCTACTTCAACCAAATACTCTGAATAAGATGCTACTTTTTTGCCATACAATAAACATTTTCATAAGGAAAAAAAAAAGATTTTTATTAACTTACAAATAATACAAAAATAGACAATGGCATGTTTTTGAATCAACAAATGAAAGCATGGTATACCGATTCAAAACAATCAACATACAAAACAAAACAAAAAAAGATAAAAAAGTCACATTTAAATAGTGAGGGACAACAGTAATAATGAAACAAAACACAGTGAAATATGTTCACTCGCTGTATTCAACTTACACAACACAACTAAACAAGGGTGAGAGGCAATGTACAAATACAAGGGATAAATACATATTTATACCATATTTTACACAAATCCCCTTTTTGTATCCAAATCCATGTTTCTCATGTTTAGCAGATGAGATATCGACACACACAGTAAGTCTATCTTCTGTACTGAGAAGCTGCCTTAAGACATTTAATGTTTACATTTCAAACTAGAGCTATCGCAAAAAAGAAATGTCAAATGAAAAAAAAGTCAACTTTTTTTATGTACAAAAATATATCACATATATCACGCTTTTATTCTAATTTGATATTTGCTAGACTCCTTCAGTACAGTGCTGGCTGGACGCACACATCCTCTGGCTTTTCAAGTCTTCTCTAAAACCGCCTTCAAAAAATTTTGGCTAAAATCGTCAACGTTTTTTTTTTCTTCACTTGACAAGCAGAAAAGCATATTGCAAACAGCTCATTCCTCACAGTTTTATTTAAATTCAAACAAAAACCGAGCAACAAAAAGAAAAGAAAAGAAACAAAAAGGCATGTTTTCTGGTGTTAGGAAGATTTTGTTGCACAACTTTTTAGATTTATGGGATGATTAGCAGCAAAATAGAGGGTTGATTTTGTCCTATGGTGTTTCCTTCTCTTTTTTTAGTCATTATTGTTGTGTCGACCTTGGTTCCATTTGGCCGGTGTGTTGTTGTGTGGTTTTTGAAAGCAGGCCGAGCTGAGGAAAGCATCTTCTATTGTGACAGAGGTTACGTAAACTCAATGGCCAAACCGACACTTGGCTGTTGTTTGTGCGAGTTGTATGGATTGCGAGACGGCGTGGGGGGCTCTCCAGTAATCAAACCCAAACCTAACAGGCATAAACATTAAGAACATAAATAAATGCTCCTTTGATGAGGTCAGTGTCACACTGTGGATAAACTATCAGTCTCTATACACTCCTTCCAACGCGATGTCAGAGAAGCTACGCTAATTCAACCAAGAGGGAAATAACATCACAAAGGCTCGTGTTGTCCCATATGTCTCCTTCCTTATCCCTTCAGATGAAATCCCAATGGAAAGGCCTGAGTTTTACAGAGTCCTGCGTCTTATCTTCACTTCCTTCAGTTCGGTTCAGCTCTGAAGCATAACAGAGACTTGCCAGACTCTGCTACTGTGTCTTTTTCCTCTCAACATTCCCAAATCTCCAGCTATCCCAGATCCTCTACATGGGTGGAACGATCATCCCGGGAATCGCTGCTTTGTGGGAAAAGAGGGGGAGGAAAACGGTGGAGAGAGGGGAATAAAGGAGGAAAAGAGAGAAAGAGAGAGAGGGAGAGGGAGAGAGGTCAGTCATGTGATTGCTGGGTTTCATCTGTCATCACAACAGTCACATAACAGAAATGTGCTCCAGCATCTGGCGAACAAAGATGACTCTCCCTCATTATCTCTTCATTCCAAGGCCCCAAAATCAAAACATTTTCCTCCGCTGCTCCGCTGACTTGGCGAGCAACGACAGTATCATTCAGCTTTTTAGCAGGCTTTCTGAATAGCTTCATGCAAGAGCTGCCACTGTTAATTGTTAGCAGCTACATTGTGTAAGGCCATTGTGCATCACGGAGCATAATTCAAACATGAGAGGGAGGCGCGGTGACGTGGGACGACAGAGGTGATGAAATTATACTCAACAGTTTAACAAGGGAATGGAACTCATGAGCTTTTTACACATTTCTAACTTCTTATATCATCTCCTCACTTCCCTTAGCTCCTGCATCCTCACCTCCTCACCCCCCTCTCCCTATCCCCTCCCCCCCATTTTAACACAGAAGCCATCACAGTGAGGAATTTTTCATATAACATATTGGCTCCCTATTGATTTCCCTCTCTCCTCAATCCACTAATTCCCTGGTTATTTCCTAAGTGTCTCCGGCTGTGTGTGTGTGTGCGTGTGTGAGAGTGTGAATGCGTGCATGTGTGCGTGTGTCAATGTGATCAGTGCGCAGTGGCCAATGGCCTTTGGGTCACCGTGGTCAGCGCTCATCAACGCCGACAGAGGAAGTGAGGAAGTGCTTAGCTTGGGGCTCTGATAAAGATTCCCATCCATCATTTCTCTCTCTCGCAGGATCTCAACACCATACGACATCCTGCTTAGACTAACAGACCCGGAGCTGCATTCGATGGAAATGGGAGAACAGCTTGACCCGTGGTATCATAACAACCCCCCTCTTTCAAACACCGCCCCTCTACAAAGACACCCACCGGAGCACAGGCAGGAAGCAGGAAGTGAAAACAGGAAATGGAACACATATGGCGTGGCATGCTGTCTCTCTGACAAGTCAAGAGTGACAAATAAAACCAGAAACGAGAAGAAGGGCAGGGTGGGATGAGCTGCTGGTGCAAATAAACAGAGTCAGATGTGAAGAAAGAGAGAAAGAGCAAACGAAAGAGAGTGATAACATACTTCAGGAGAAGGCCAGGCCCTGCAGAGAGTTGGCTGAGGAGTACTTGCTAGAGTCCACAAAAGACTGATCTACAGTGAGGAAAGAGAGCAGGGAGGGGGGGGGTTCAGGGAGGAAAAAGACAGGAATGAAAAGGAGGAAAAAGGGGGAATAAGAGAAGAAGAGGGAATTAAAAGTAAGAAACTGTTATAAGGAGTTGTAGAGGAGCAGGATAAAAGCTTGATGAAGAAGAAGACATCGAAGTAATCCACAACAACACTTGAAAACAGTAGGTCTACATTCACTGTGTGCTAATGTAAGCTCTGCCTAAAGATGGACGACACATCTCTGCTTCCTCTAGTTGTAAAAAATGAAGTAGTTCCCGATTCGCGCTGACATAAGTCTGTTACACACCGCGACTCTGAAACAGCACAGACAACAGAGTCCCGCCATCACTGGGCCTTTGTAATTACACATTAAAGCCTGAAAGGATGTAATACTGGTGTCTCAGTGTGTGATTACACATCACAATAGGTTGTCGCTACAGCTGAGAGGCACAGCTTGTTAACACACAGCAGGAGCTCCACAAACGCGCAGACATGAACATACATGCTTCTGTGCTGTCTGCTGCCGGCTCTGATGCCACACATCGCCACCATCTCCCCCTCATTTGGGCTCTGCTACTACCTCCATGAGATCATCAAAGAAGGTTACAGAGTGGGGAGCTTCACCTATTTTGGCTTCACTTTTTGGGTATGTCGTCCATCTTTACATGCCTCTCTACTAAAAGCTTCCTGGCCATCATTTCTGATCTTACCTTGGAGGCTGTTAGCATTCGCGCTGGTGCATGTGGGCGGAGGGGAGTTCTGGGGTCGAACTACAGGGGCGAAGGCGCTCTTCTGCTTGACGGCAGCAGATACCATGTTGGCTGGAGAGAAGGAGAAGATGCCAGAGGAGCTGCTGCAGTTGGAGGGCAGGCTGGTGGACGAAGCCATGGTGGGGCTTGACGGGACGACTGAGAGGAGAGACATGGGTAGGAGAAGGGAGGGTTAAGGGGAGGTCATAGGGTGCACACCAGGGATGAATGACAAGGAGGAAGGATGAAGACGGAAAAGGGGGAGAGGTTAGAGAGAGGGCCGAGGGCAGAGGACGGGAAGACGGGATGAGCAGAAAGGGACTGATCAATGGATGATGGCAGGAGGGATAATGTTTTGGCTCAGACATTGTTTGGCAACTTTTTTTTGTTGTCAAGCCATCACCTGACAACCAAGATATTCCACAGCCAAGACAAAAATGTGTTAAGCTGGAAACTTGCTCTAAAAAGCGCCCAAAATAGGTTTTCCCCTGTTCACTCTGTTTTGATGACTCATCCCGTCACTAACGGGTTGCTTCAGCTTGATAAACAACTCTTGCTAACGCTGTACCTGCAATTTGCTTTTTTTAGGGGAACTTACAAACAAGGCTCTTCAAGATTACTTATTGTAATCATTGACAAGCAAGCTTTAAGAGACTCCAGTGGATAAAAAGAGCTGAATGAATAAAGCTGAATGAATGGCTGATAACTACTGCATCTGCATCTTTTGTTTTCAGTCCTCTGATAAGGTTTTTGTTTGTTTGGCAGCCTGATGTATCAATAAACACATTTACAGGGATAATATTTCTTTATTTTGGTTGGATTCATCTGTTCAAATATTTAGAAGGCAGGTCTAGTGTTTCAATGCACCTACAAATTCAATCAGGACTGTCATGTGAAATGTGCAAAAGCAATGCTATTCTGCCTTGCACCCTCTCTCCTTTTCAGGTCTAAGCTCAAATAGACTTTTTTACTTGATCAGATCCTGGTCTTGAAGATGGATACTCTTTAGATTCAATGAACTGGTGGCTGTTATTTTGCTGCCCTGATTAAAGAAACTATTATCCAAGCCTTGGTCCTACTGAATTCAAGGAGAAGTAGAGGAGGTATATGGCTACATCTAAACTTTCTTGCTTCTTCCCCTCCTGAGAGGACTAGAGATGACGGTCTATAAGTATCAGTTTGAGACACAAGTTTTTGGGAAAAGAACAAAGACCAAAGGACACTCGCTTCACTTTGGGCCTACAAATTACTACTGAGATGCTTGTATGGAGAATTTTTATGCCGTTTGGGCTTTTAAACCCATGCCCTATATAAAACACAGCTACTATCATAAACTAAAGCATGAAGCCCTATCACACTTGGAAATGGCATGATAAAAAACGTGACTGAGGAAATGTAGAGATTTAGGGGGTTTCTTGTGGTCCTGGTCTGTTATTTGCTGTAGCTAGCTGGCTTTAACAGATAGCTGACTTTTCACTTCCATGATAGCTGCGGAGAATAAGCTACCTCTAGTCGACAAAAGTAGCTCCTAAAGCTTCCTCACACAGCCTTTATTATTTCTTTGACATAAAGTTTCAATAAAGATGTAAAAAAGGTCTTAAGGTGATTTGTTTAGAGGAAAATAAAAACATACAGTTATTTATATTAATATTTAAGTGCAATTACTTTTGTCTGGACTGATTTTATGGCATGCAACTTTTAGACTTAAAACAAAGTTACGACTGGTGATAGTCAAACTTAATAGTTTATCAACATACGTATTTGCTAAAACAGATTTACTAATGTATCAAGGTCTCAGTGTAATGTCCACATCATCAACAGGATATTACTTTGCAATAAGCCCCAAATAGAAATTTCTTGAAATACTTGGATTCCTGACATTAAAGCCTCACTGTTTATAAAAGATAAGCTTTTAGTTTGATTTGCTGTTGTACAAGCTGCTGCCTGCTCGTAGTAAGACTCCTGAGACCCGACAGACAAAAATGACCAGGTTATCTTTACAACCCAAATCCGGTCTCCCCCTGACATCACCCCATCCATCCACTCCTCCTCGGTTTGTCTTTTGTCTGCTAATACACTAAGAGCATTTTCCCCCTCAGTGATTTTACAATCAAGCGAGTCGTATTTCACCTGCTCTCTGATATCTGCTCCTGCCTTTATTGTTGTTATTATCCAACACTTAGCTTTTATGGCTCTTCCTGACAAATCCTCGCAATAAAGTCATAATCCATTTATGAAGGGGCCTAACTAATCAATTAATGAAAATTGGACCTACAAAGGCAGGCCGAGGGGCCATTGATTGAAAGTGTCTGTGTGGGGCCGATGAGCCTGTTAAAATACTTGTTAACACCCAGGAATCAAAGCGCTGAAATGGAATTGCTTCTCTAGCAATTAGTTTATTGATTTAATCAAGGGTCTTTAATGTAGAGGGTGAATGTGTGTGTGTGTGCAAAGCTGCTGGTGTGTGTGTGCTGGGGGTGTGCTAGGTGATCTGCTCTCCTGGCCAATAAAGTGAGGATTTGCGTTTGACTCTGTTCTTAAAGAAACAGATGAGCCAGCTGAACTGCAGCACTTTCCTCTTAGGTGTCACTTCTTATTTGCGCCTCCTGTCCTAACTTCCTCTGAGACACTTTTCTCTTTTGTGTCGGAAAAGACTCTTTTTGTTTCTCTCCTGCCTTAGGTTTGTCATCCCCACAAGGTTTCAGATCTAGGAATCTAGGATGTGGTGTGTTTACTCACTAGCATAGGGCGAGTTGCCTGCAGATCCATTGAGGAAGTTGGGCGAGGTGCCCAAGGTTGCCATGCCAGAGTTAGCGTAGCCATTCATGCTAGTGGAGACAGAGCTGTAGCTACTCTGCTGGGGGGTGGAGCTGGGGACATAACCATGAGGGGACACACTGCTTGTACTCCTACTGAAACCTATGGACAGAGAAAGAGACGGAGAGATAGAGTAATAGGTGTTAGGGGTATAGCAGAAAAAACAGTCAGAAAGCCGAACACTCTTCTCTCTACACGGTTGAAAACACAAGCCGAAGGAAATTTATTGAAAAATCTAAGACAGCATATGGCAGAGCGAGGAAGAAATGACCAGAGCAGAGGGAGAATGATACAAGAGGGAACTAGCTGTAATCCAACCACTGAAACAAGAGGCCTTTAACCCCACTGGCTCCACTCCAAAATTAGATCTATTGATAAGGCAATTAACACTAAAAGGCCTCTGCAGCTCTCCTGTAATTTATAAAGAATGAAGCCAGTATTTCTGACAGGAACCTATTCTCTTTTATGCTTTACAGCAGCTGCGAACAGAAAGAGGACAAGATGGAAAGAAGACTATAAATATACATCTCAGGTCCAACGTGCTGACACCGGAGAAAAGACACAGCTGGAAATGAACATCAGGAGTCTCTGCTCTCTAGTGCAACAAAGGCTGCACTTGTTAGCTGTTTTAGCCTCCTTTTTCCTATCAGGGTATCACCAATTCCCTGTCCTCATCTGTTAGGAGTGCAAAACTGAGAGCCCGACACCAGACAGCTGATATCGGTTGTTTTTCCGCGGCACCTGAACATGTTTCCAGGTGGAGATGAAGATGCGAGGAAGAGGCGAGGGGAGCTCATTGGAAGTATTGAGACACATCCAGAGGCTGGTCCATCTACTCTCCTCTCTTTCCCCTGATACATGTGATGAATCACCACTGACTGCACCCACATCTCTCTCTGTCATACGGGGGCCGACCCCAGTCTAATATACACACCCCTAGGACCCACTCATATTTCTCCATCCTAGTCCATCCGCAGCTCCCTTTTTCTCCATTCTTCACTCTCTCACCATCCTTCTTTCCTCAAGTTTTCCCTGTTTCTCTCAGCTGCCTCCTCCTCCTGTCCTCCTTTTTCAAAATCTTCTTTATTTTCTCCACGCTCTTAAATCACTCTTTTTAAATTTCCCACATGAAACATAAAATGTCCCACTTGTACCACTTATCTTTTCCTACACAATCTGTCTTTCCAAAAGGAGAGGAAAATAATAAATCACAGCCACATCTCTAAAGATAACAGCCTGTAATTGTTTCCTGTTGAGTTCCTCACCCTGATTGGCTGTTTGTGCCACCTCTGACCCAGTGAAGGAGTTCACGGCCATCATGCCAGCGTGGACCGAGCCGCTGCCAAGACCGGCGAGCTGGTTGTGCCCTCGTGGCACTGTCGTGTAGAGGGCCTCTGCGATGTCTGCTGCTCGTTTCAGAATCATCTCCTGACAAAGAAGAAGAAAAAAATAGCCGTGGTCAGCAACAGAGAGAGGAGAAGAGTGAAAAAAGCGCACGTGATGCAGGCTTTATGGTTTTACAAGAATGCCAGATCTCCACTGGAGATATTGTGTATGTAAACCCAGCAGGCTGAGTGGTTTTTATCAGCGGTCGTGGGGAGTGGTGGGATTGGTTCCAGTAAATGGAGGAAAGGCTCATTAACAGAATCATCAAATCTTTGGCCTGATGCTTCCTCTCCTCCTTCCTGCTTCATGTGTGCTCCTCTTCTGATCCTGTACTCTTTCTACTCTCCTCTACTTCTTTAGTGTCAATTTTCTTTCCCTCTACGACACATAAAATGATAACTTCATCACGTGTCATGTGGGTCCTGGACTCTGCTGTATAAGTCGGCAGAAACTCCTGTTCTTGCTGTAAACTCCACGCAATAACTTCATGTGAGATAAAATGACGTTTTTGTCCTTTGTGTCCGTGGGAGTGTTTACCTGGTTATTATGAGGCATCCCGTACAAAGCCTCCACCAGGTCTGCTGCTCGCTTTAAGATCACCTCCTAAAATCAAGCGTGAGAAGAAGAAAAGGATTGATCATGAGTGTGACGGCTGAAAGAGTTCAGTCACTTTTATTACATTTCACGTCCTACATTATGCTGTGAATGCAGAACAGAGAGTGCAGGAGGGGAAGGAGGCCGACAGAGGAAGGCAGAGGAAGAGAAATGGGCCTGTCCCGGCACTTTGTTACTCGCTGGGCAGTTTGGGAGAGCAGAGGTAAGATACTGTTATCTGTGAATAAAACATGAGCCTATATCTCTTTATCAGTCAACCATCTTGTACGTCTTCTCCTCCCCTGCTGTCAGCGCCAGATCATGAATCCAGCGCGCATGATCACACATCAATCTCATTTAACACAACATATCATCTCTTTGACAGCTATACAACTCTGGGACACACCCGTCTCCTGCCCTGTATTAACCCTGGTAATGATCCAAGTGAATAGCCCTGCATCCACTTTGTGTGATAAATGTAGAACATCATCGCTCAGGTGAAAACCGCCGAGTGGAATTTCCCACATCAAACATTTATCCTTCCATAGTGTTGCCACTTTCTCCGCACTCATTTTCTACCGCTTACCCTGCTTTCTCTCCTCGCTCCGTCTCTATTCTTTTCCCTCCCTGAGAGTATGAGTGTGTGACTCCAGGCAGTCGTTATACGTGTGTGTGATGTAGACACCTACAGCCCTACGAAACCCTTTTTAAAAGTTAATGTGCCGGGGCCAGGATATATGCTGGAGGCGCGACAACCAGAAAATTGCAGCCCCCTCCCCTCCAACCTTCCCCTCTTTTCCCTCTCTCTCCCTCCTTCCCTTCAACTCGCACACACACGCTGTGCGCTATACCCTCCTGAGTGTATCCCTCGCTGTGAACAAGCCCTGGAGCATGTGTGCTCTCTGTTCCGTGACACACTGCCTTTCAATCAGACTCATATCACACACATACACACAGACGCACACACGCAGCCGCCGCGCACATGTGGAGGCTGTCGAGCACGCCCAGGACATGACGAGAGGGTCAGCAAAGCAATAAAGATTGTAGAGCGCTGTCCGAGGTGCTAAATTCACTCAATAATGGGAGCGCTGCCTCTGTGTTAACCTCCCATTACTAGCACTATCTGGGGGAGGCAGAGAGGGAGGCAGGGGGAGGAGACAGAAAGGGGGGAGACCAGAGAGGAGGCCTGCTCGAGGTGATTGAGAGATGTAGAGGCCCTAGGAAGGTAAGTGGTTCTTTAGTATGTATGCACCGCTCCTCGCTTCCTTCTCTCTGCTTTTCCTCGACTCCACATGCCTCCCAGGGATTGCTAGATAGGTAGATGGATGGATGATGGGAGGGGGAGGAGAAGGGGGAGGAGGGGAAATGAGGAAAGAGTAAGGCATTAGGACACAAACAGATGTGCAGCTGGAGTGTAGCGATGTTCAGGGAGGATATGTGAAACCTCAGTCACTTCATCTTCAACATTTTCTACCTCCACACAGCAGCTATAAGTTTGAGAACCCTCCAGCTCTTTACTCCTCTCTGTCTGTCCGTGCGTCTCCATCTCTAATCTCCTCCTCCTCCTCCTCTCTTTTTCACCTGTGTCTCCAACTACTGTCTCCCGTCTCCCTCTTCTTCTTCCTCCTCTCTCCCATCCTCTCGATTAATCACCCTCCCATGGTTCTGCTCCTTGTCTGTACCTATCAGTCTCTCGTTAGCAGAGGGATCTGTCCAGTAGCTAAACGCGATTAGGCAGCGCTCCAGAGTCGTTCTGATAAACAGATAAATGTGGTTAGCGCCGTGCTGCCTCCCGAGCTCTGCTGCTGTAAGGGGAGACCATTTCCTGGGCGCAGGGTCTCTTCCCGTAAAGTCAGGCCCGCAGAGACGTCAACAGGAAGGGGAACCTGATCCAGAGCAGAGCCTGGCCCCGTCTGGCAAGGCGGTCACTCATTAGCCTGCCCCAGACCCCCAGCCACACTACAGCTCCAGCTAGAGCTAAACACCCTGCAGCCAGGCTGTGCCTCCATCCTCAATCTTGCTGCCTGAGTTTTAGCCTCAGCACAGTATGGGACTTTGTTCAGCTGGATACTCAGAACTATAACCTATATAGAACAGACTCAAACAGATATCCTGCTTACTCTCTCCATGTTGTTAATGGGTTTGGAAAAAGGATAGATTTCTGGATCATCTTGGCAACAGGGGCGTGTCCACAATCTTGAAGAGTTGCATGAATTTGTCCTGTACATGTGAAGGGGGAGTTTTCTGACTGTCAATCATCTGGTCTGACATCTACCCCCTCATAGTAGCTACAATCATTGAAAATCACCATATAAATATATAATCCTGATGTCATTGGTCTTGTTTGGTTTTGCAGGTCATGACTTTTAATCTTAGTCTGTATTATTAGTAGCCAAAAACTCCTCAAAGAGGCTTTTAGTTGTGTCTTTTGGCCGCAAAATCAAAGTGCCCAGTCAGTGGGTGGCCAATCAGATTTAAGCAGTGTCTTTGCAACCCAAAGTCCAACCCCTGCAAATGCACAGCGCTGTTGGTCTTAGAAAAAAAAAAATTCAAGTAAACTCCTGGTAAACTGATGGATCTTTCAGTGCTGGTCATGTCAGTATGGAGTTTCATTGTGAGATGATGCTTGTGTGTCACTCTGACCCCACAAAGCTCCAACACACAGAGCAGAGGGGGAGAAAGGGACTGTAGGGATACCAAGATGTGGTAAATACTCAGTGTCATTCAATTTATCTATTTAATTTTCCTTTTTATTCTGACTTTTAGTGCCTTGATTCGAGAGGACAGGGCCGTGGATAGATAGAATTTACACACATAATTGATGATGTGAAAAGTTTGGCGTGAATGTTTACCTGTTGCGTGCTGAATGGGCCTCTTTTTTTAAAATTCAATTTTTTTCTGTAATTCATTTAAAACATTATAAAAAAAATTATCTGAGTAGGCCTACAAGCCTGATCCAACCATGCCACTCGTCAGACAAAACTTCTTCTGGTTCATGATCTACGAAAACAGACTTTCTGTGTTGCGTTTATTTCTATTAGTGTACCAAAAAATGCGCCAAATTAAACATTCAAAATGAGAACTGTTTGGAACCGTAATTATTTTGTCCCATTATCCTCCATTTTTTGGCATGGTGAGTGTTTGAAGAAGCCCACTGAAGTCCAAACAAGGCAGCTTTAGTTAGATTCTTAAGAGATATGGATGTTTACCAATCGAAATATAAAGAAAAACAAAGGGGAACCTCGTCATGGAGCAGCTAATATACTCTGAGCATATTCAGTCGTGCCCACTTAGACATCGATTTTTCAACTCTGGAGTTTTTATGCTATTGAAACACTTAACTAGACCACATCTTAATTTTTGTGTCAGCGTCCTGTCTGGTATCTCTAAACATCACTATTAGAAAGCACCTCATACAATTATATCTCTTTAATAGGTCTATCAAAAAGGTGCTACACCAGTGGAAAACATTACACTCTTTACACCACACTCATTACACCACAAAGCGCTGTGTTGCCATGGTGGCCATGAGTGGACATTTGTAGCAGCAGAAGTTGCCAGTGTTTGCCCCTCTTCTGCCCCCTCTCCCTCATGATTGAGGCCAACAGTTGAGAGAAGTGTGGTCAACAAACTGTTATTACCTCAATAAAGGCACAAATCAATAGAGCTGAAATGAACAACCGGGCCTGCCAGCTACCGCTGTTCATTTAGAAGAGAAAGAGACACCACGTAGCGAGGGAGGAAGAGAAGGAGGAGAAAAAGAGATGGATGGATTCAGAGATATTTAGAGAGATACGGAGGGGGGTTGATAGGCTAAAGACCAGAACTCACCAGGACAAGTCTTGTATCCAGCGGACATGACACACAGCGAGGACAAGTGATTTCTCGATCTTTCTTCTACCTGCGTTTTCCATCTCTGCCTCATGGTGACTTCTCTCCGCTCAGTGCATGTGCGCGCAGAGAGGTGTGTAGGTGCATTTCTACCTGTATGTATGTGTGTGTGTGTATGTGCCTGTTTGTGTATGTGTGTGTGTGTGTGTGCTGGAAGTAATAAAGTCCACCCGGGGTTGACTTCGATCCACTGACCCAGCAGGAGGTAAGACTGGACAGCTATGATGGATCACCTAACCTGCTTCTGCCTCTCTCTTCCTCTCTCCCCCTCAACCTCCTTTCCTCTCTCCCTCTTTTCCTCCCTCCATTCCTCCCTTCCTTCTCCCACTTTGCCAGTCTAAATGACCTTATAGTGAGTGGAAGGATGAATAGAGCTTCTTGTGCATTTCACTTTGCAAATAAAGTGTTTGTTTGGGCAGAAAAAGAGCATGAATATACGATAAACTGTGCTTTAGCGCATACATACAGTAGTGTCATGTATAGCCGACAGTTTATGTCTCACACAGTTACTTCTCTGTGTATGAGGTCATACCGCCTTGTGCTATGTATATCCATATATGCTATGTAACTCTAGAAGTTGTCAATACTTCTCTGTACCAGTGTTACCAAGACAGACTCCTATAAATTAATTGCATGTCGGAACAAACGCGTGAGAGGAATGGAAGCAATGTACCTTGGGTAATCTCTCTTGGTCTCCGGGGTGTCTGGGGATAACCTTCTGTAACCTCTGGAAGCCGTAGTCTATGGTTGGCTCGTTCAGCGCTAAAAAACAAGAGGGAAAAAGAGACAGAAAGATCATTTAATGCTTGATTCTTAATAATGAAAACACCTACTGTTCAAGAGAGACAGACGCAGAAACGAGTGATTCTCTCCTAGGGTAGAAACGACTGAATTAAGCACGGTTTTACATGAATATTTCAACATTAAACCAAACACGCTGAAAATGTGGGTGTTCTCTATTAAGTCTGCTGTGTGTCTTTGTTTGCCTGTGATGTAATGAATCTCTCTCTGTCGCCTGCTTTGGTGGTTAATAAAAAGACTGTCAGGAATCAGGCAGGGCGTATATGTGAGTTAGTGTGCATGCGCATGTGTGTGTGTGTGCGTCCTGTGGTCTTGCGTTGATCAGCGACTAATATAAGCAATTACAGAGCCTGGTTCCAATATAACAAAGGCTTGATCGCTCCGGGGAGCTAGCTAAACACACACACAGATACGTAGAGACAGTCGCGCGCACACACACTCACACACACACACACACACACGCGCACACAGAGTCAGATCATCCAGCAGCAGGGAGAAAGCACTCTCTCGGCATGCTGTGGTCGTGCTACGGTAATTGAATATGAGAAGATTTACCATGAATATTTAAACATTAGAATAAATACAATGAAGATCTGAGGCTTATAGTACAAACACTTCAGAGGAGGATTGTTGGATAAGTGCTCTCTCCACATAATTCATTCCTAATGTACTCTCTCTCTTTCTCTCTCTCTGTCTTTACCCTCCTCCCCTCTGTGTCTCTTTGTGGGCTGCCTGGGGAGTCAATGCACACACACTGATAACAGTCTTGACTCTTTCTCTACAGTCTATATACCATGCTGCCTCTGTGCAGACTGTGTTGTGTGTGTGTGTAAGTACTTGTAAAACATGAAAAGAAGGAGCTATTACGCGTGAGGATTGTATGTATGTGTCTGTTGCCGTCCGTCTGTTTCCCCCGTGGGTCGCAGCTTGGACGTTTCCTGAGGGCTGATGCCCCGCTCGCCTCACATCTGAGCAGCCAGGCTGACTAGGCGGCCCCCAGAAAAAAGGCCCCTAGAGGCTATGAGTACAAGCTGTCCTGCTGGACCTCTAGTGACTTCACCATGGCGCCTTCTGAGCCGCGTGCTCAGACGCACACACACACACAAACACACCAAAGGAGAGCAAGAGAGCAAGGCAGCGAGAGTCAGTGATGCTCTGTTTTGGCAACACAAACGTATTTGGACAGCTCTCCCAGCGGAGCGTTCCAGTAATCCATAAGAGTGAAAGAAAGGAAAGGTGAAAAAGCTGGAAGCAAAGACAGTGGAGAGAGAGCCGAGAGAGCAAAGTAGGAGTGGAGATGCCAGAGGCGGGCTCAACTTCAGAAGAATGACACACATTATTACAGGCCAGCTGGTCCACTGATAAAATAAGCCAAAACAATGCGATGATCACATGCAACAAATAAAGTATGAATTATTTCTGAGGACAAATATTTGACTTTACTTCCGTATTCTCTGATCTCTGTAAAGCCTTAAGGAGGATTTGCCCTGGATTAGGCCTGCAGTCTGAGGAGGGGATTGTTCTGACAACATCCTCTCTCTTTCGTCTCAAAGGCTTTTGTTTTTATGATGAATTTTTTATCAGTTCTCCACAATGCGCCAAATGAGCCTCGAGTGAACAATAGCATAAAAACCCCAAGACGTACACAGATACCCCCTATTACAAATAAAGAGACAATTTTGGTAATTGAGAGAGGAAGTGATATTGTCTCTGCTCGTTTTCAAGGACCATAAAGCAGAGGAGGAGTACGTGGGGGACAATGGCACCACTAACTACCTGACTGTGTCTCTTTGGGGATTATCTTTGTGTTTTATGCTCTTATACCTATGCTCGGTATCTCAGTTTACAAGAAAATTTAGCACTGGAAGCGGAAAAAAAAAAGAAAACTCTGCTGCCTCGAAAGACAAGTGGTGTGCCGATACACACTCCAGGATTCAAAGCACACTCTCCCATACAGGTATATTTATAATCCTTAGCTGTCGCTCTCCAGAAGAGCAAATCAAAGCCAGTAAAACATAACTGCCATAAATAAATGAATAGATGAGCAACAGCCCTGGACTGGAGGGATTCACCTAGCAATCACCCACATCAGATCAGATCAATGCTCATGGAAATTTCATGAAGCCTAGAATCCACACCGCTTCATATTTCACTATAATAACCCACAGAGCCGCAGGGGGAGTGTGTATGAAGGGGTGATGGGGAGAGGGAGGGGAAGGGGGTGCTGGAGGTATGGGCTTGAGGGGAGGAATGAAAGGGGGAGTGGATGTTTGGGGCGCAAGGAGAAGGTGGAAGGAGGGGTAGAGGGATAATTGAGAGGTCAGCACAGTGGAGTCGTCCTGGAAACAGACGAGAGGAGGAGGAGGAGGACGAGGAGGCAGGAGCAGGAGGTGGGGAAACTACAGTAAGTGTCCAGCAGCTCTGTCTCCGTCTCCTCCTCTGTTGGGCGGAGTGTACTTGCAGGGTTAGGTAATTGGCTCTGAGGCTTGATGTTAACACCTTAACAGGCCCTCAGACGGTGGGTAAGGAGCTGATCATATCACAACCCTCTGTTTCTCTCACTCTCTCCCCCTCCGCCTCCCCCCTTCTCTCCCCCTCCCTCCCCTCTGCAGTCTCCAGTGCTCAGGTGTGATCTCATAAGCGCTGCCTTGCGATCGATGCCGCCAGTGGCAGGGGGTTCAATAGCCCTGAATTACGGCTTCATTTCTCCCCTCTCCTCACACAGATGAGAGCCACCCCCCCCCCCTCATCACCACACACACACACACACACACACACACACACACACACACACACACACACACACACACACACTCACACACACATATACAACACCCCCACTGACGACTCACAATCCAGATCAATACCTTACAATCTAATTTTTATCCATTTTTCCATAAACCCAGAGATTGCGTTTATTTGCAGAATCCGACAAGCTAAATAAAGCATCGCTTGAACATGTCAGGGAGACTAATGCATGGCTGGAAATTCATACACAGAAAACAGATGAGTGGAGCTTTTTGCTCCTAAAGGAAAGGAGAGGCTGAGGCTGAGGGAGGAAGAGGAGAGGATGGAGGGAGGGAGGGAGGGAGGGAGTGGGGGGAACTAAGAGATTCTACAAATCAATGGAGGTGTGGATGCTACTACAACCTAAGCTCTAATTATCTGTTGCAAAAAGTGCATGTCGACAGTTAACAATACCTGACAGCACGGATCCTCATCGCCAGAATGCAAATCCTGGAAATCTGGTGGAAAAGTGCGCGCTTGAATTAAGATATAGGAACACATAAGAAATCATTCCCCACGGTGAACACCGCTCATTTCAGCGGGGTATAAAATCATCTATGTTCGAAATTCATTTACATCATCATCATGGACCAGATGCTCCTGTAATAAGAACGGAGGCTGCTAAAGAGGGAAGACAAGCCACATGGTGCAGAAAATTAATCTCAATCTCAAATAGAGGTGTGAATTTCCTCGCTGTTGAGACTGTGCGCAGTAAATGTGAGCTTGTGCAGCTATCTCAGCTGGCCCTGTCTCCAGCTGGAGACCGGCCGTTTTAATCAACAGCAGGCCTCCACCCAAGCTCAATAAAAGAAGCATTCACAAATAGGAGCAAGACCAGTAATTGACCGGCTTGTGGCTGCACCCCACTTTTATTGCCAGATTACTGCATGTATGCGTGAGCTCATGCATGATTGCAGGTGTCACATGTGCATATGGATGTAGAATAAATCTGTAGGTCTGTTCACGCTCTTTCTTGTTTTTTTTTCTTACTAATTCTTTAACAAACTGCGCCAATATCATCATCATTGGACATTTTCTCTAGTCTGAAGAACTGAATCTTCATCTGAACGAATCAATCTCAGCTTTTCAGATAGATTTCATCACTATGTAGAGCAGCTTAATGAGGTCTAAAGTGAATCACAACTTTACAGAGCATCTTCTCGCTTACACCACTCTCCGTGCCATCATCCGTGCTCACTGCAGTGCCTGTTCTGTATAAAATGACAGACAACTGACAGTCCTTCCTCCACCTCTAAAACTAATTTGGAGCTCAGAGGCAGAGCAGGGAGAGACGGAGAGAAATGTCAGCAGCATCCCGCCTGGTTTAAATTCTGTTCTTGACTTTTGTCTTTTTCCCTTGCTCTTTGCCGAGTCTGAGTGATGTTTCCTACACACCTAATCTGCACTCAGCGCTGAAAAACTACCCCTAATGTTTGTGCGTGCGTGTGCGCGGATGCGTGTCGCCGCACATGGTGCCGGCCTTAATGTGAGCCAGCAGAGCCTTTTAATATCAGCAGAAGCTGTAGAGGAAGCACTAAGCAGACAAGGCTGCATACTGAGGAGGGGAGGGATTGCCTTTTGAACGACAAGGGTGATTCATCAACTCCCCCAATCTATGGCCAGTATCCCTGTGTCACACACACACAAACACACACACACAGACACACACACACACACACACACACTGGGACCCTAGTGGCAGAGAGTATTATCACTCTATATTGCATGGAGAAAAGAAAAGGGGGAGCAGCTCTGATGAATGCTACAAAGACAGCAATCCAGTAAAAGGTGATACACAACCAAACATGGAGATGCATTTGTACAGCGGGGGGAAGGAGGGCTGGGCAATGACCTGATAATGAGAGAGAGAGAGGGAGAGGAAGTGAGGGAGAGAGAAAGAGAGGGAAAGAGATTAGGGGGAGCTCTCAGCCCCAGAGGTGGGTAAGGCAGAGGGCAGAGAGAGGAACAGAGGGGGGATAAGGGGATAAAAAGACAGAAGAAGAGCAGAGAAGGAAAAAAAAAACACATTCTTTTATTCTTATCAGTGGAGAGCTTAATTGCCTTTGATGAGTCTAATTGGAGCTTTCTGAAGTCTAATGGCAGAGGAGTCCTCAGAGACGACAGAGGACACATTACTGTAATAGCTTCTCTCCGAATCTCCTCTGCACCAAAGTCCCCTGCTTGTCTCCTCCACCCTGAACTACGGCTGAAATCTTTCCATGCAGCGACGGCTGTTCTGGGGTATCAATGATCACGCTGAGAGGGTGGGGGGAGCAAACCTATAGAGGGGTTATGTGTGTGTCTGTGTGTGTGTGTGTGTGTTGGGCATGTTTGCAAAGTAGCAGTAGCAGCAATATTGGGTATGTGGTGACTTAATTAGGTCTGTGAGCTGCTCGCTTTCCTCTCCTCAGCTGAAGTTGATTAGCAATGCCAGCTGTCCCCAATGTAATTCAGTGTGCGCGTGTTGCGTGCACAAGTAATATACGAGTATATGCATGTCTGCTAGTGCAGAGTTGTGTTGATGTGTGTGTGTATGCGCTAGCTGCCAGCTGCCATGCAGTGCTGCCAATCCTCCATGATTAGTACCCACTGGCAACTGGGCTCAAACTGGTGCCAAACAGACCCAGGAGGGCAACATGGCCCATGGTAATCCTGCATCCCTCTCCTCTTTTTCCTTCCTCATCCTCTACTCTCCATCCTTATCAACTGCTTCCTTTTTGCTGCTCATCCTCCCGTTGTTCTCTGCCTCTCGTTCAAGACATGTGAAAGTTTTAGGAGAGTTCAGTATGAGGACTTAAAGTGATAAAAAAGAGCTGATAAAGGAGCTCTGGGAGAGGTACAAATACCCACTGAGGGTACAGAGCAGAGGCTGAAGTGAAGTGTGTGAAGAGTAGAACTGGGATCTGTGCCTCGACACGGTTGACTGTGTCACCGTGAAGGTGCCGGCGTTTGGCAAGCAGCATCACAGTGTGTGTGTGTGTGTGTTTTTAGCTCCCAGTGGATGACCTCTTGATACCTCTCACCTGTTGAGATTCTTCTTTGTGCCTCTGTCGAAGCCAAAAGGCAGAAAGAGAGCAGAAAAGAGAGGAAGAATCTGTCCTAAAAGATGCCAGTTTGGAATAAGTGAATGTGACAAGGGGAAAGAGTGGAGGGCTGGGAAGAGATAGGGCGTTAATGCATACGGTTCCCACATGTCTGGCACATTAAAAGGCTGTGCACACACATGCACATAGATACACATACATACACACAGCTTGATGGGTTTGGCAGAGTGTGGGCTGTTGGACAGCTCTGGCATGGTAAAGGCTGCCCACCCATCTGCCCTCTGTCTTAGTAATGCAGTTACTTGTCAGGTTGCGAGTGCGTGTTTGGGGTACATTCACACTTTTGTGAAAAACAAACACAGGCAGCCTATCGCAGCCTTTCCCATACATACACAAACACGGAGTCATAATTATGGTGCATGGACATGGATTCTGTCCATGCACCATAATTAGGACACACACAAAATGTAAAAAAAGCATAGCAGTGATGTGACGCACACACATACTCTCAATTGTGATTTTGTCAAATGTTGGCAATTCCAGTTGGGGCTTACAGCCTAAGTCTATCAGTGGTTGAGATTACAGACAGATTTATGTGATTCACAATCTCCCCGGGGACCTGCGGCCTCACATTGGTTAATCACCGCTTCACATTCACTCTCTCCACCGCTCTTTTCACCGCACGGCTATAACTCTGCACTGATACGCTCTGATGTAACACTTGAGCTATTCATGCCCCAGCACTCGCTGCTGAAAATCACACTCTCCTCATGGACCTCTTCCTTTGTGAATCACGCCGTCCACAGGGTTAAAACTCAATAATCCCACTAATCAAAAGGTTAAACCTCCCCTGACCTTCACCTGCTTCATAAAAGAGGGGAAAACCCTTTTCTTCCTCTCATCAGCAGGCTTTTTCACTGAATTATTAAGTCATGTTATTGAATTTTGAATTGTTTAGCATGCGCATATTTCTCTAGAAATAGTGTAGATACGATGACAGCTCATAACAGTATCACATTACTCTGAGCAGATACTAAAATTTACAGTGAAAGTAAAAGCCACTTTTAAAGATACCAGTGTGATTCAAGGTCTTCTCACACCACTCTTAAAGAAAGTTGTTTTTAGCAAAGTAGGGAGTATGGGTGAAGATTTAATGAGAAAAGTCAGCAGATAGGTTGAAACTACATTATCCCTGTAGATTCAGCTGTTAATGAGTGTCATTAGTAAGTGTTAGTGTAAAGCTGGTACCTGTGTAGATGAAGCGTCCAGGTGTGCCTTTGCAGAACTGTTTGGATTTGTAGGACAGCGTAACCTCCACTACCCCGGGGATGTGTCTGGGTGGAGTTTGCACACGGATGGCGTGGGGGGTGATCAGCTATGGAGAACCAGAGAAGGCATAAAGATTAATGCAGTGAAACTTCATATCCAAACATGTGCTCAGGGGACTTTTCTGGGCTCGCCTCAGACCTTTTCCTTTGCTGCTTTTGACTCTCTTTCTTTGTATAATCAGCCTGAAAATGATGTGTTAGCGCCAAAGCCCTCAGGTGGCCTCGCAGCCTCAGGCAATGTCACTGTGAGGCTTAGGATGGTTATCAGTGGTGACATGGGCTCTGTACGAGCGGTTCAAAAGCAGTTATCTGTTTATGAATAAAACACACCTTCCTCTGCATACATCTATTACACAGTATAAGGAAATGTATAATCTGCCCGTCTGTGCTGCTGCCCCTGTCTCTGTGTCTGTCAGCCGAGGATGTCGAGCCGCTGTTAGCCACATTAAAGCGCCACTGTCTCTTAAACAGGCTCACTTAGTGTGGTTGATGAGCCCACTCCCTATGTATGTCTCCGTGTGCATGCTGAAGGGTCTTTGAAGGAATATGGTAACAAGACAAAACACAGATGAGACCTCAGTGAGTGCTCGTTTTCTGCACGCTATACTGAACTAGCACTCAAAGCTAGCAGCGCTCAAAAGCTATCAATGCTGCTGCCAGAGCCATGTGTGTGAGTACCTGTATATGTGTGTGTGTGTGTGTGTGTGTTTGTATGTGTGTGTGCTAACTGTCCCTTTCATTGCTCACTTAGCTGTGCTTTCATTCTACCATTGTCTGGCCTCCGTCACCTCTCGGCGAGATAATATAAGAGCTTTTTATAGAATTATTCCTTTACTAAAGAGAAAGCTGTTTAGCTGCGACGCTCGCTGACCTTCAATTTCACACATACACTACATTTACATTTTAGTCATGTGGCAGATGCTCCCTACAAAGAGATTTATACAGTACGGTGCGCGCACATTCAAAGAAGGCAGATAGAAATATAATAAAAAAAAAAGGAAAAAAGAAGGAAGAACCACAGCAGAGAGAAATGAGAAAGCAAGCTGTTCATACTGGTTTATAATAAGGCTCTAACTAATGACTATTTTTATTATCAATTAGAGCGCTCACTATTTTTTCACTTACTTTTTTTTTATGAGAAATTTGCAAGAAAACACTTATTACATGACTCAAAAGACCATCCAGACACCAGTAGTTTGTCAGTAGTAGGTAAAAACATCTGAAATTTATCTAAAAAAAAACTGCTTTTAAAAAGCCGAACTGATGGGAATCTTTTAATTTGAGAAGCTAAATTCGGCAAATGTTTGGCTCTAAACTTTAATGGGCCTTGGAAAGACTAAAAAGAGCTCTAGTTTACTACAGGAGTTCCCAACGTTAGTATCAAAGTGCCCCCCGGGGTATCCATTGACACTGTAAATTTATCAGGTCACAGGATGATTAAAGTCATAAGAAATAGAGATATACTGTAGATCTCTCCTGCAAATGATTTATAGAGCTTTTGACTCTTTCTTTATCCTGTTAAACCTCAAACATTTCCTTGAAGGCCTTTAAATTAAACAATATAAGACGAAAAAGTCACTATTTGGTTAAACTTCTCAAAATAAATCTTGTTGAAGTTTCTTCCTGTTTAAAGAAAGTTGTCCTTTGCCCCAGTTTAAGAGAGTTAGACAACCTTTTAGAGTACGGTCTTCATGTAAAGAATCATGGGCCAACTTTGGTGGGGAGTTAGTACTTTTTGGAGAGCTGCCCACGCAACGGATATAATCTGTGAGGGATTCTTGATGATTTTAGAGATGGAAAAATGTGTGCACAATAGAGTCACTCAAACAATCACATTCATGATAACATTGAGGTTTTTTTTTTTAGGAAGGTGACTAACCTCGCTCCAGACCAGCATTGTTCCGAAGATGACCTGCAAACCGTCAAAGAAATTGTCTCCGATGATGATGACTGTAGCGCCTCCTGTGGTCCAGCCTTCGCTCGGGCTGATGGCTTTGATGCTCGGGGTCGCTGCAGGATTAACACACAAAATAGATTAGATGCTAACTAACTTAATGACAGCACATAAAGGCCCTGTACAGCTTCATGTACAGTCACCTCCTCTTCTTCCCATCCCTCATTCACACACGTACATCACCTCTCTCCTCTCTCCCAGGGGTCGGGGGCGAGCGAGGAATACTAATCAGAGTGATTATACGCACCCCGTTATTAAACATCACCCCTGCCCTGTGTGTGAGGGCAGCAGCGGTGCGCTTGTTTTATGACACGTGGCAAAGCGTGCAGGCGTGTAAATGTCAGGTGTGCTGAGTGTCTGATCAAAGGCCACGCGACCGGGGAGCAGAGCAGAGCCAACAGTAGCTCTGCCCTCTGAATACGCCGCCTTCATTAACCAAACACTTAGCTCTTGCTCAGCTGGCTGCTTCATATATCTCAGCACCAGGCCAACTGGTCACTCCAGCTCCTGTGTGGATTTGGGTAATGCATTTTTGTAAGCTTAAACGTTTTCTATGAAAGCATATTCTTTATGTGTTATCCAACAAAAGTCCATGGAATAACAACAATAAAGCACATTTTCAATAAGTGGTATTCAATGTGCTTTTCGACCTTATCTGCTGGTATTATGGACTTGGAGATTACTGGATGTGATTGAAGAAAAGAACAGCAATGGGAAAATACATGTTTATACAAGCTAAATCTCCTCTCCTTAACAGATATGCAGCTTGTCAGACATGCTGTAATTCTGTAAAGCGGCATAATCCACTTTAGACTGGGCTGACTTTTTTTTTCCCTGAAGCCTAGCCTTTTGCTCTTCGCCTGACTCCCTGTTCTGTTGATCCTCCCAAACAAGCTGGACTGATATTTAGCCCCCTGATACGCCTGCAGAGATCAACGTTCACCAAGCAGCAATCTGTGGCCGTAATCATGGCCTAAGATGCCTCCTTTTCACAGCCGCTGATATTATGTGCGCTCCATGTGCATGTGTGTGTGTTTGTGTGTGCGTGGATTAACCAGATGGTGGAACGTGAATCCATGTGATAGGATTATACTTTGGGGTGTTCCTCGGTGCCATCTGTTCAACTCCATGCACTGCTCATCTATTACCGCCTGAAATGGGCCCCAAAAGTTGTGTATCCTGCACACAATCTCAACACATGCTGAAAAGAGAAAGAAACCACTGTCTTCTTTCTTGTTATTTCATCTTTTCTTTGTACAATCAGGGGCTTTTGCCTCTACGTTTCATTGCGTCCACATCTCTTTATCCCTCACTCTGTCTCCTACTGTCACTCCTGTTGTTCCTCCTTCAAACCCCAACCATCGGGAGAGTAGAAAATCAGAGAGGAGGAAATACTAAACAAATCTCTCTGACACAGGGAACATCTGTCAGCGTGCTGTGCGCGCTCTTCTCTCTGAGTTTGAGTGACACCCTCAACATGTGTCGTCTTTGTGAACTTTTTCCGATCGCCTGTGAGACCAGCCGCAGGGACAAATGGTCCACCTTGCCTCAGGAGGATAGTCATTAGATAGACTTAACCACAACATTCAATCTTAATGCAATCTAGTGTAGGCCGTCATGTAAATCCCGTCTTAGTATTTTGTCATTATCATCCCTGAGGTTGACTTTCCTCAAAGTGAAAAAAAATATGTTTCTCTTATTCAATGTCTGGGAAATCGAAATGAGAAAATAACTGGATTAGGGAGTTGGGAATCAGTGCGGGCTCCTAAATCATGTGCACATGTCATTATGAAGTATTAAAGGTTTGGGTCTGACTGTGTACGTGTGTGTGCATGGGCTCCTTTTTGTGTGCGTATGGGTGTGTTTGAAAACCTGAGGGATGGGGAGTGATGGAGGGCTGGAGGATAAAAGCAGGTCTCCGAGGAAATAAAGCCAGTGTTGGCTTTAAGCAGAACAGACCTCATAAGACACATAGTGCTTATGCGAGGCAGAGTAGAGGGCCCAGAGGCAGAGACCTGAGGGGAGCAAGCCACAAGGGAGAGACAAGAGACTCGTTCTAGCTACCACTCGCTCCTCTCTTAGCGCAAGTTAGAAGCCCTACTAGAGAGGAAAGTGAGAATCTAGGAGGAAGCAGGGGAGAGATAAGAAAGAAAGCGAGGGAGTAGGTTTGAGAGGGGATAGAGTGGAGACAGAGGAGGGGTTGAGTGCTGAGCCAGACAGGGAGGGGAAGAGAGGGGGGGTGAGGGAGGGAGGGGGAGGAGAGGAGAGTTGAGCAGACAGAAAGAAAGTAAGAAGACAAAGAAAGCTTGAGGATTTTGTTCCTGCTTTTAGTACCGTGTTCCAGGTAGGATGGGGTTCCTTCCGACGGGTCCAGTCTCCGAGCTCTGCGCCCATGTTTGGAGTTGTTGTGCACAAACATGTTGTCGGAGACGGCCAGGACATGACCCTCCACGCTCACTGTAGTCGACACAACCACCTGAGACATAGGGTGACAGATGGAGACCATTGAACCAAAATAAATCTCACTCTGTCATATAGTATGTGGCTGTGTTGTTCTTACACTAACTTCTTAATAGGGCAAGAGGAAATCCTGCAAAATAAAGTACGGGCAGACTTTTATTTTGAAGGAATAGATATTAACAGCGCCAGTATCACGCTGTTTTTGTCCTCTAAGGATTTTTATTTAAGTTTCATGGCTGTAAATATGATCTAATTCAACATGAATTAACAATGAATAAAGTTTGCTTCATTTAACAAAGATCACTGCACATGATGCATGAACCAGCTTCCCTTTGAATCTGGACCTCTCTCATTCAGTTCCAGTGTCTATAGCCTCTGATAGGAAATAAGGGAATTTTACACCTGCATTAAAGTCGTTAGGCCACTTGGGGTAGTGGAAAGATGCAGAGCGAAATTACCTTTATTCTTCTTGCTACCTTATACAACTAAGTCCAATATAAACTTTACTTTTGAAGCTGCAGTGTGTTTTTATTTAGCAGCATTTATCAGAGCAAACAAGGTAGAAATAAAATAGAATATTTGAAAGTATTAAGTTAGTGTGTAATTACTTAAAAAAAAATAAAAACCATCCAGCTCTTAAATTTGAATCAGCATTTTTTATGTACAAGAAAAGTCAGTGTCCTTCCACAGAGGCAGCCGTCTTGCACTGCCATTTGTCTACTAAAGCAGAGTGGATATACTTGTAACATGTGGGCTCTAGCATTTTGCACCAGTTGAGAGACAGAACGGGAGGAAGTGGTTGTTTTGCACAAGACTAATTATGATAATAGATGTAAGAGATCTGATGGTAAAATCTTGCAAAATTGAGCATCACACAAAAAGTGCTCATTGTCCTCAGAAGACACCATCATCTCATAGACCAGAGGATATATTCTTCTATTTAGTCCAATTTCTACACAGTATACTCTTAACCCTGGTTTTGGTATCCATTGCCTCCTGAAGAGAGAGTTTGACTTCTCAGCTGCACATCTCTCACCATGATCACCTGCTGAAGTTTAAAACTTTTCAGAGCCTTGTCACTGAAAACAGCTGCTTTCTTTAGCTGTTAACATCTATGAGAGCTATGAGAGTGGACTGCAATTTAAGTAGTGAGGGATAGAAAATCACGGCAATAAGCCAAATGATGCTGAAATGCTTCATGGCACAACGTCAGAACTTGTATTCAAAGGCCCAGTAAAGGACCATGGACAAAGCAGCACCTCAAATCTTGTTGCTGATTTTGAAGTAAAGTTTTCTTTCTCTTTATTTTTTTAATCTCACCCTCTTTTTATTTTAAAAGTCAAATATATGACTCTTGGGAGTCTGTCGCAGTGACAAATGTACAATGAGGCTGTTTCAGCAGAGTGCAGTTTATCACTTGGACTGGCATCTACCCCCTGCCAGCAGCTTTAGACGTTAAAAATCGTAGTGTAGAAATAATCAGTCTTTATGATGACAGACTAGTTTGCTTTTGTGCGTCAGTATCAATTTCAGTTAGTTTTTATTCATTTAGAAACTCATCACAGGAGTTTAAAGGGAGTCATATGACTTAATCGTTGTTCGAGTTTACATTTATTTGTCTACTTTTCATGAGAGAGGTTTACAAAAGGATACTTTAGGACTGCATTGTGTTCAGCTTGAAAGGCTAGCAGTGTGCATTGTTTAGACCATGTTGACTGTGAGGGGCATTTTGTGTTTTTATTGTGTTGTTACTGGAGTGAATGAGGTATTTATGCAAGAGTGTTCCTGTAAATGCTTTGTTTCTCTATTACCGCAGTTATAAAGCTTGATGCATGATTATTTTTTTGTTTTTTTAAAGGGACAAAAGAATGTTTATTTCTATGTTTATACTGAATTTAATTTTCTAAGTGGTACATACAGTAATCCCTCTTCTCTGGATTTATCTTTGGGAAAGCAAAAAGAGCATTTATATGAGAGAAACCCTGTCTTTTTTTAAGGGGTTATGATGTTACCTCGTGTGTTGTTTTGCAAAAACAAATCAGGAATTGAAGCCGTCCACTGTACACCCACACACTGTATATATGCGTGCAGATAGACGAATCTCACCTGAAAACGCCTCATGTCTCGAGGGTTCCCTGCATTCTTCAGGCAGTTCTGGTTACACTTCAGGAAGAACTTGAGGAAGAACCTGCATAAACACAGAGAGACAGAGAAAAACAAATGAGTTAGTGAAAGTATGAGCTACTCCAACAAACCACGAAACACGAATAAAACAAATAAAACCCGCAGTGGCAGACAGGGCTCACACACTCTCCCACCCTCATCCATCAGTTGTTTATGACAAAGGCAGTTTTGGATGTAAAAACAGCTCGGGGATATTGAGTAAGATGCTACCTTGTATATCCATCTCTGAGCTGCTGTCACAGCTTGCCATAAACTCACCGGGGCAGCAGACACATACCCCCCACCTCTCAACTCCCCCCAGCTGCAGAAGCATGTGACGGAGGTTGTGCTGTAGCTACTATGCAGCACAGTGTTGCCATTCCTGCCTCTCTCAATCTCAGTGTGAGAGACCACATCAACAGCACCTGCCATGCATTATTAATAGGCTGAGATGGCAAGTATGGCTACCCACATCAATACTTAATGAGGGAGGGAGGGATGGAGAGGAGGGGTAGGTGGAGTATAGAGGGGGAGTGTGTAAGTGTGGGGGGGCACCGAGGGCCTGAAAAGCAGAGAGGGGACGTCTGACAATTTATTCCCTGGCCCCACCCTGTAGTTTAAAGCCTGATAACTTCTTCTTTAAGCAAACTACAGTCGTGAACATCCCTCCACTCTCCCTTCTCTATTGTCTGTCTGTTTGTGAAGAAGAAAAACTACATCAAATGAACCGCAAAAATAAACAGCACCGTGTACAAATAAACAGGAACCCTCAAAAGGGGGGGAAATAAAACTACAACATTTCCCGCCTCCCTCCCTCCTCCTCCTCCCTTTGAGGAAGCTCAAAGAAGTGCTGACAGCTGAAACTGCTTACAATACAGATCTCCAGCAGCCAGAGAGAGAATCACTCCTTTGCTCAGCTTTTCTTTCATATGTCTTATTTTCTACCCACTGTTCATTTGTTATGGCTAGGATTCTGCACTGGGCAGCGCGTTTGGAGCCAACTGCCTTAGATACAATCATGCACGAGGAGTCGCATCTCACGTGCACGCTCACACAAACACACACACACACGTAGAGAGAAAGAGAGACATGTCAGGAGAAACACAGTAAGCAGCCTTGGACAATTGCTTCATCTGGAGGGAAAAAAAGAAACAAGAGAGCAAAGAAGATAAATGGACAGATCAGAGTTCTGTCTCATTTCAAGGACCGGCTTACTGCTGCGCGCATTACAAGCATCTGATGTAACACAAGAACTGGTGAATTTATCCCTGACAACTCTTAAACGCATGACAGCTGGTTAGTGGTAAACGCTGTTCTCTTCTGAGTAAAGAAGAGAAAGCCTCTTATGATGTGAATAACAAACTGTCTTTCTTTGCTGCTCTTGTTTTCCTTTTTTTTTCTTCTCTCCTTCTGCTTTGTTTGTGTTCTGATTTACGATCTCTCTGGCTGGAGAGGCTAAATCTGGACGAGAAGAGGGGAAAGGGAAAATAGACAGACTGAGACGGGTGTGTGTGTGGGGGGGGGGGGGGCAGAAAGTGAGAGGAGAAAATGATAGAAAGATAGACAGAAGGACGGTGCACGTGAAATCCGAAAGGAGAGACAGACCACCCTCCTGTATATTTTAGAAGCTGTAGGCCAATAACTCAATAATTCATGAAGCACAGAGATGGAGGGTTTTTTTCACAGTGGCGGTTGGACCCCAAAGGCTGAGGGTCTCCCAACTTTCTTATCTCCTCGGGGTCAGAGAGCAGCCGTGCAGACAGCTGTGGACCACATCCACTTGTCCAACATACCCCACCTTCCTCGCTGGCCCTCCTGTTTAATTCATTGACTCTGCTTTTTCCCCTGATGTGTCCTTCTCCTGCTCCTCTGAGGTATTCATGATGGACAGATGATGGATAAGTGGATACAGAGGAGCGAGGGTCAGCCGAGTCAGGGGTGGCCAAATGAGGGGGTTAAATATTACAGTTTGGTTTGGCGGAGAAAAAGGAGGAGGAGGAGGAGGAGAAAGAAGTGAGACTGTGCTGAAGTACCAAGCGTTAAAAAAAGAGATGAAGACAGTAAGTCAGAAAGTCAGCATGCCTCATTCGCTTTGCCATATGTCAGCGTGTCCCCTCCATCTCCTGCACGCGTGGATCATCTGATTCATTATTTACACGACTTAAGGTGTCTGGAGTCAGCCGCACGGAAACATTACAAAACTGTAGCATGTTGATTCCTCCGTGCTCTATCTCATCTCCCCGGGAGCCGAGGGACTGGAATCACCGCTGCACACATTTACATGGATCAGCAGAGAGTGGGTGTGCGGAGGAGGGGGGGTGGATCAAGCAGTGCGTGATGATATGCAATAGCAAAGAGATTAGCATAAGGATTTATAGATAATCTGATTGACAGCTGACCAGTAAATATGGACAGATAAATGACGATAGCCTATAATTCTCTCATTTGTTCTCTTTAGCTTTCTATTTCACTGTTTCCCTCGATTTCCAATCCATCAGAATGATAATTTATTGCTTCACAATTGTTTTTTGTAAGACATAGTCCATAATCCTGCTCTAGTTATCTCAAATGCCCTTGTATGACACCGCCTACTCTGATCTAAGCATTAAAAGACATTTTTGTGTAGTGACTTCACCAGCAAAAGTTGTTGGGGGGGACTTTAGACACCTCTGTTTTTTGTCATCTTAGCTGCGGCCCTGCTTAGCTTCAACTTTTCATGGATAATGCTGCAAAATTTAACTTGTAAAAATGTACCTTTTTGCTCATCTATCAACAATATTGTCACCTGCATAAACTCTTGTTTTTATGATGGTCCGCTCTACCTCATTTGTATCCGAGAGCCTCGCTGGTTTCAAGCTGTTTCGCCATGCAGACTCAACAGCTACAAATATTACCCGTGCAAATTGCTGCTCCGTCCTGGATTAAATGAAATAAAACCATTTTGCTCTCACGTAATTACCCCCAAATCCAGGAACGGCTGTGGAAGTGAATTTGTGTAAATAACTGCTTGGCCTCTCGAAGCCTCGTGGCGTAAATTTGTAAAAGCGAAAAAAACAAACGAATAAACACATGCAGCCGGTCGCCGTAGTAATTTAATGATCTCACACTTTCATCATATCATAACGGCCATTATTTGTCACTTTGGAGCAATTAAACACAAAATCACCTCTGCCCATAAAAAACAAAACAAGGAAAGCAATTATAACACAACTTTTAAGTAATCCCTGTAGCATCTAAATATTATTACAGTGGTGATAAAGATTGTCTACGCGATTAGCTAACAGCACGGAAGCCTCCGAGGGACAATTCTGTTATATTTTCTAATAATTTTCCTACATTAGCAACAAATGAGGTAAAGAGTTGTTTTCCTTGTCAAATTTAACACAGATAACTTTGGAGCTGTGCTGTTTTATCTTCCTCGGTGCTTCTGGTTTATTCATCTTTTCAGCCTTTTGTGTCTCATTGTGCCGTACGTCTTCCTGCCTCATTTCTTTACTCTTTCGCCCCTCCTCTCTCGGCTCTGCTGTTTTGTTCTGATGCACAGTAAAAATGGCTGTGGGTGATACCATAACTCAGCCCTCTCCTCTCTGTCTCCCTCCATCCATTTCAGCCGTACAGATCATCTCCAGAAGAAAAGCAGTGTGTCTGGCTCCTAATATGCTTCATGAGGTGTGTAATTCACTGTGCTCCGGAGGGGAGCCATTTGTCTCGGGGGTTAACTAAGTGACACAACAGCACTTCCCCTTGCCTGTTACCACCGTGGGACATGTTGAACTAATCTAGGCAGGTAGAGGAATGGAAGATACTGCACTTGAGCGATTAAACATTGAGATTTGTGCGGACAAAATCAATCCTAATGAAGTCCGAGGCAAGTTCAAATGAAGTGTAAATATTTGTAAGCAAATATAATGTTACAGGAGAAAACAGGACTGATAAATAGGCGGCTGAAGTAAAAGTGAAGTCTGGCGCTCTCCGAGAATCAAATACCTTCCTCAGGTCCTGTTTTGTGTATTTTCTTTTCCTCCCCTTGAGCTTCATTTCTCGTCCTCTTTCTTTCCTCTGCAACTCTTTCTTTCGCTCTTTCCGCCATGCATCACTGACACTTCAACCAAGAGCCTGACTGGCTTGTTTTCGTGGTGACCTGTCTCCCTGCCTGCAGTATATGTTTAAGTGTGGAGGCGCGCACACACACACACACACACACACACACACACACACACACACACACACACACACACACACACACACACACACACACACACACACACCCCTCACATACACACACTAATTTAGGGAGATTTATGAGAGGGGCCTTGCACCAGGAGCCATGCAGGCTGACCCCAGGGGTGTAGGGGGGCACTGGGTGGGGGAGGGGGCCTGGCTCCACAGGGGGGGACATTAATAATCCAGAACCAGGTCTGTCTCTGGGTCTGGCCCTGGGCCTCGGACACCAGGCTGTAACAGGCTGCAGTGGCCCAGTTTACTTGCAGAAATCATCTAGTACAGCTTGACATATAAATATCAGAAAGACAGATCTTCGAAAAAAGACACAACATAAGAAAAAAAATGCAACAACACACAGAAACAAGAGGGCAGTCAAAAAAAAAGAGACCATCACAAACATACATCCTTAGCTTCATTCCTTTGGAGTGCTACTCTTTAAAGTAGCAGCGCGCACCTCTATATTGCCCCCATGTCTATCTTAAGTGTCATGATTTATTCAAATAGAACATCTCACTGCGCTGAAAAATTCATTTCCAGCTCGCTCCGTGCATCGTCCCATCCTCCTCCTCGTCCGTATCTGCTCGATGTGTGTGCATGTCGTGTCAGCTGAATTTGCCCCGATGTTAAATATTTCTCAGAACAAATGGACCCAGGAGGAGGGGACGCTGGGTCAGGGAGGATCCGTGCTGCAACTTGCCGCTCAGGGAGAGGCCCCACTTGGGAGAGATCGCTCCTCGCTTCTCCGTGAAGCCGGAGCTCCAGTCCCAGCTTGGGGACAGAAGTCCCAGAGACACTTAACCAATTGTGTTTCATCCATTTCATCCGAAAAGGATCATTCAAAATTCAACTGAGAAATGGTGCCGGAAGCGTTGAAAGACAGGCAATGAGAGCTGTGCTGCGAGGGAACAGCGTAGAAGGGAGAAAAGAGAGCCGGGTTCAACAACTTGTAGCCTGATAAGATCGCTACCTGTGGCCTGGATTTACACCAGAGCACCAGGGGGAAATGCAACCAAATAAACATCTGTGCATGCATTTGTGTATTTGCGCATGAATGTGTGTGTGTGAGAGTGTCTGAGTGTGTGTGCGTATCAAAGCCATGATGAATAAGAGGCTGTCCAGATGATGGACAAGCTTGGCAGGCGGTGCTGATTGAAACACTTCCTCTGTCGGGGCCTGGCCCATTAATCTGATGGAGACAGAGACAAAGAAAGAGGGAGAGAAAGAGAGGGAAGGAGAGAGGGAGGGAAAGAGAGAGGGAGAGAGAGAGAGAGAGAACGCTCCAGGCCCTCCCCCCCCTGATCACAGGAGTAATGAAGGGTCCTGGTCCCTCTCACCTCAATGCTGTCTTGCCATGCTGGGACGCTCTGCTACCCTGTCCAGCCTCAACCCTGCCCTCGTGGGACTGACCAGTGAATAATGGCCCTGTCATCAGCTGGGTTACACGCCGAAGGGTGTGTGTGACCATGCGGGTGTGTGTGTGTGTGTGTGTGTGTGTGTGTATGTGACCGCATGCTTAAGCCCGCCTGCTTTCCTCCCTGTGCAGTCATTTACACCCTAACTGTTCTCCTCTCCACCTTGGTTGAGGACTGATGTATTCATATTGAATAGTGTTGATTTAAGTGCATGTTAAACTTAATGCATAATGCATCCACTATATATAACTTGATAAAGAGCGTTGTGTCAACCCTCGACCGGCCCCATACATTGTGGGGATGAATGTGCCGCTTGCAAAAGTTCTTTCTTTTTGTTCCATTTAAGCACCGTATTAAATCATAACTATGACTGTGAGTGTACGCAGGCTCAAGGTTATGTTTCTAAATGCAGCAGGATCAGAAATCAGAAACTTAATTAGTGTGCTGTGTTTGTTCTCGGGTGAAAAGTTGTTCCCACCAATGGGTCTTGAGGGAGGAATATGGAAGCAGGGAGTGGGAGAGAGTGAGAAAATGTGAGACAAAGTGTGTGTGTGTGTGTGACTGTGGAAAAAACAGAGGAGATGGATACTGAACACAGACGTATGGCTTCCTACAGAGTGTGGGTGTGTGTGTGTGTGTGTATGTGCGTGTGGACATGTGTGTTTTGGCCTTGCATCCCTCTGTTTATCAAACATATTACAGCTCCTTCTAGATTCCTCACCTGCACACCCCCAGCCTGCTACATATGGCCCACCAATCACAAAATAAGGAATCATGCATACATTAGCATAGCTAATAGCCTACCCTCTCCATTTAATATGCAAATTTCCTGAAACATTACTGAATGCCGTCTGTTCTAAATGAATAAATTTGAATCGCAATTAGAATAATCCTTTATAATTAATGAAAACTGTCAATTTTGGTTCATAAGTAATTTGATTAAAGTGGTGATGGGACACTTATGAAGTTCATCGGGCTGTGAGGAGTGTGAACACACGTACACACATGTGTGGAAACACACACACACACAAGCTGCATGACAACCAACAGCAGGACCAGGGCTGCATTATTGATGAAGATGATTAATAAACTTATGAAAGTGGTTGTCACACATGCCAGACCTGTTTTTTTTTTTTTACTCAACACAACTTCTTTCTACTCCTTCACCGCTGCCGAGGAACAACAGATCAATCACGCCTTTCTGCCACCTGACAGAGAGGGAAAAGTGAGCGAGTGATTGAAAAGGTTCCCCAGCCCGGTGGTGCTGTGTCAGTGGCCTGTCTGTCCGGTGGGAGACACTGATGGACTGTTGAGGCGGGGAGACCACCACAAACACACATACACACACACACACGCACACACACGTCAAGTCATTACAAGTGGCTGAAACGTTTTCCTGTTGTTTCATACAGAGGGGGGGTGAGGGTGCTGCTGTTTTATCAGCTTATAATAACATGTTATGAAGAGCATATTTGAAGAAGAGGGCGTCCTGTGTGTAACTGCTCATCCCACCTTCACCATTAACTCCGTCGTGTTCTACTTTGCTGCTACTGAAGCGTGTAATGGTGTCGCTTAAATGAGGGTCACTCAGCTGTGGGAAATTGTTGCAATGAGCGCTGCATGTGTATCTCTTCCTCTTTTACTCTACAAATACAACCTGAGTGTGCTTGTGCTATAGCGCACCGACTCCAACATGAGTGTGTGTAGCCTGGGTGAGCGTGTTTGCATGGCATCAACCCAATAATAATGGTCCAGATAGTGTAGAGCCTCGCAGACTAATTAGCCATATCACTGAGAAAATAGCAGCCTGCTAATTAATGGGTATTATGGCATTTCAGAAGTCACTGCTCTAATTGGGAGGGAACTGAGCCTCACATTTCCATACTGCAGTAATACTGGCTTTATCCACCCGTCTATGTGTCTGTCTGTCTGTCTACCTACTTGGCATGCTTGCTTTTAAACACAATCCTCTGCATGCGTGAGGGAAATAATTATCCTGCTTACATTTTAAAACAAACACATGCAGTTATGTGAGAGATGTATACATTAAAACCAAGCCAAGTTTTGCACATAAATAGATCTGCTTCACACACAAGGAGAAATAAATCTTATTTTAGCCTCTGATCTATTGCCTATATTTATTCTGATTAGATATATTTATATTGCTTTTAGAGAGAAAAAAGCCTAATGTAAGTGAATTGGCGAGTAATACAATCCTTCTGAATAATGCTCCGTATCATTTTGTATGTGAGTGTGTCTCTCTGGTACACATGCATACATGCATATCCCCCATAGGTTCCTCTTAACCCTATCAGACGGTGGGACAATCAAAATAGATTTGCATTCAAATGCCACATGCTCGGTATCAAATATCAAATCAAGACCGAGTCACTGAGACAGACAGACAGTCGTCTCCTCCCTGCTCCCCTCATGAACCTCCTCCTCCCGCCTTTCTCCTCCCAGGGTCCCAGGGACTCCCATTCTGCGCTGGATGAGCTCTATCGAGGAGTGACAGGCAGTGGCCTGGGCTTGATTGACAGCCTGTTGATGCTTCTCTTCCCTCACCCACACACACACAAAAGCAGACATACGCACACACAGACTCCTGATTCTCCTCCGCTGCCTCCCTCCTGTGTGCTCTTGCACTGGACTGGGTGTCAGTGATAGCCCCTGGGCTAGTGCCCCGCAGGCTGCACAGCACTATACATACAAATCACAGTGTGTCAGCCCCGTGAATGGGCCCATTTTGACTTTGTCCTTGTAAAGTCAGGCCCCCCTTGAAGCCGCCTGGATCTGTATCCTGCCTCTTCTTTTTTTTTTTTTTTTGACTTTCCCTTTCATTCCCATGTGCACACAGAGGCAGATGCATGATGAAACTTCGACAAAAGGACAAGAAGTCAGAGTGCACACACATGCATAAACACACATGCAGAAGAAAACAGGAAAAAATGTCAGGTTTAAACTTGGTGCTAATGGGCAGCACCTCACAGGAGCAGGGTATAAATACATCAACAACACACACACAGACAGAAAAGTCCACACATGCCATAATGGCCGAGACCTGGGGCCTAATCTCACACACTCAGCTAGTACACCTGGTTAATGTTAAGAGGGCAGTTATAGTCAATTACATTCCCATATAACGCATAAACCTCCACCCTGCCTGTGCAGCGAGAGTAATTGAAAACAGGCACACTCAGGTCCAGACAAAAAGTCAACTTCCCACCCCTGACTTTCCCACTCACTGCAAGCACTTCTTCCCATTTCATATTCTGGCTCTTGAGGGCAAATGTAGGAAAGAGGGAGGGGTGGGCTAGCATTTGGATAGAAGGCAGCGAAAGAGCAGCTGGAGATGGAGTCACATGAGGTACCGCAGAGGAAGACAAAAGGAGAAGAAAAGGAGGAGATGGAGGGTTTTGTCTCCCATGCAGGTGAGGTCCAGTTAGGGTCGGGGTGAGAAGGTGGTGGACTGCTGGTGGTGGTGGTGTTCCATGTGGGTGGGGAAGGTAGGGGGGCGTTAAAGAAGGGTGGGGGGAGCGGTTGTAAGTAGGAGTTTGAGACTGACAGGTGACATTACCCTGCGTCATGGCTGGAGGGACAGAGGGACAGAGGGCGCGATGGTTATCCAAGCAGAGAAATGTCAACGTCCAGACACCGCTGTGACACACACACACACACACACACACAAACAAGAGCTGCACAGACACAAGCACACACACACACACACAAGTACACAAAGATCCAGGACAAAGGAGTCTGGAGTCTTTGAGAGCGAAAAAGGCTGGCTACAGTGGGCAGAGATGAGGAGATTACATCCTCTCCATTTAAAAAAGAAGGAGATGAGAATAAAGAGACAAAGCAGAAGAAAAAGGCAAAGAGTCACACACTTTACCATTACCAGTCAACAGTCTGCATTTATTCATATCATCGCCTGCTTTCAAAACACAAGCTCCTGTCCTTTGGTGGAGTTTTCACCACGTTTGTACCTTCTCAATCTGCTCTCTGGCGTTTTTCATTAAAGCCTAACCCAATTTTGGCAAAGCTTATAAAATGTCCATATTGCTGCTCATTCGACCCCATTGATTTAGTGTTTGGTTAAATATTCACGACTGTGGATGCAATTAACATGCTGTTAATGAATAATTGATCGCATCTTAAGCGGCCATAAAACTCATGCATATTAATTATTGAAACAGGAAATATGAAAAAAACAACCTTCCTTGTTTTGCCTCAATCAACCTTCTTTCATTTTGTTTCTTTAGTCAGGAAGGCCTGTAGAGAGTATTCAAGGGGGAAAAGTGCAGCTCCTGAGAGTGTGTGTATGTGTGTGTATGTGTGTGTGTGCATAAGGAGACAGGAGGCAGAAAGTGCTATGAACACTATGCAAATGCCTCCCGTAAACACCGCTTTTACAGCTCTTATATGCGTTTAAGCTGCCTTTGAGTACATCCATTTAGCTCGTACATACATCTCTACATGTGTTTCTGTGCATCGTATGGCTTGCAGTGATGTGGAGTGAAGTGCGGGTGAGCGCTGTGTTGACAGCCAAGGTGTGACAGAGGCAGAAGCTGCCTTTTTTTAAGAGGCAAGTGTGTGCCAGGGAAGGAACACAACAACAACAACACACACAAAAAAAAGCAGCAAACACGGGAGACTTGTCAGCACGAGACTGGAGATCAGTCAGCCAACAATGAGCGTTCCCTCTCCCACTGTGTCTCTACCAGTGTTCGCTTATAGGCTGGTGTCCCCCCTGGCACCTCCCCGGGCCCAGTTGAGTGGAGAACAATAGTGTGGAAAAGAAATATGAGGGAGGGAGTCAGGGGCTGTATGTGCCTCGCATTAATGCTGCCATGCACCTGCGGTCAGGTGAATACCGCCTCTCTTCCGCACGAGAGCTAAACTGTGTGTTTGTGTGTGTGTTTGTGCTCAGTTTGGTGGGTTAAATTCATTACCCGTACATCCTGCACTCCTAAACCACTCTAAAATGTCTTGACATGAAAAATACATCCCTGAAGCAGCCACACACACCAAGAAAACACCAATTTACATCGCTACTTGTAATTTATTTAGCACTCAAAAAGCTCTCCTTGGAGTGTGTGTGTGTGTGTGCGTTTTGTGTGAGTCGCCCCCCTCTTCCTCCCTTACTGGCACCTAACTAACTACTCTGGGATGTTGGTGCCTAGGAGCTAAAAGTGACAAGCCGTCAATTGTGTTCCAATATTAACCCCCTCTCAATGTCTGCGTGCCCGTCTTCTTCTCTGTGATGTTGGCTTGATCAAAGAAGCGGCACTTTGGCAAAAATAACCAGGAGGAGTGAGATGGAGGACACCATGCTGCTTACAGACTGATGAACGACGGACAGTCTCTCGGCAAAACACTGTCCCTTGTTTTTCTTTTTCTTTGTCTCTCCTTTTCAGTCATTATCTCCATCTCTGCTCCTCTCTGAGAGTCTGGATGAGGCGTTGGCTGAACATGATTCAATATCTCCTGCATACAGCCCGCAATAAGTGGTAGTTCATGGAGTGGACTGTATACAATTTTATGGAGAGGGAGAGGCTATACGCTGAAGCTTTTTATAAGGAGAGGGAGACGGCGCTCGCCAACATTTTCTCAACCTATTTTGTTCTTGTTACACTGAAGAGAGACTGGAGGAGGGCTGGGCGGGGGATAAAAGCAAGAAGCAGACCACCAGAGAGACAGAATATGATAGAAAAATGCCCCATGTCTGTGTTTCATCTTATCTTAGCAGGTTCACCTAGCGGTGAGATTCCTCAAACGCACCTTCAGTCGTTGGTGAGAGGGGGGGGGGGGGGGGGGCTGAAGGGAAAGGGACAGAGAGAAGAGAGAGGAGAGAGAAAGTAAGCACACATACACATGAAGGGAGAGAAAGAGGGAGGGATGGGGAGGAAGGTGGATCTCTCTGTGGCTAATTCTCTGGGTGTGGGAAAGCGGAGCACCTAACACAGGTTGGCCTGGTTTCAGTAATGAGTTTGATTCTTCCCTCTGCCTCCTCGGTCTCACTGGGGACTAAGACTGCATAATAACATCCTCCACACACACACACATACACATACAGATACACATACACACACACAGGCACAAACAGGTCTATGGGGAGCTAATTATTCTCACCTGTGTTAATTATTGCTGTAAGCCAATCAGCGGACTCTGTGCTAATTAGGCAGTGTTAGGTCTGATTAGTGTTTTGCAGCAGGCCCACTCAAACTGTTATCTACCATACTCGTCCCCTCAGGCGAGAGAGGAGAGAGGAGAACAGGTGGAGGCTTGCCCTACGTGCGTGCGTGTGTGCGCGTGTGTGTCTGCGTGTATGCGCTCATCCTTAATAATAAATAACTGAGGGACAGCTTAGATTCACAATAAAACAAAAGCCCAATCAGCTCCTTTTCTAATCAAACTTTTATTAAACAAAACGGCGCATGCCATCAATTCCAGTGCTCTCTGCCCTCCGAGTTAATTGGCCCTGCTTTAGGGTCATTTCTTTTATCTGGACAAACAGCCCCTCTGCCCTTTAAGTTAATGAGGGCTGATCCAGGATCAGTTCTGTCACTAATGGCTCTTTTTTGCCAGGATAACCCCTCAGATTGATCTCCACATCACACATGCAACCCCCGTCCTGACCCAGGAGTGCTGGCTTATGTGTGAAGGTGTATGTATGTGTGAAGAGGGAAACTAAGATGCCAAATTATGGATAAAGAGGGACTGATAAAAGTATGAACTTAAAGTGTTTAGATAATGATAATAATATTAATCATACTGATAGATAAATAGATACAAAGACTGAAAGGAAAAAAGGGGAGAAAGGATGTGGAGGAGGAGAGAGAGGGGGAGAAGCTGGAGGAAACCTTCCTCTTATGACACGATTGATTTTCTTTCAGAGGCTTGAGCCTGTCACTACTGAACACTTGGTCCCCCACTCCTCCTCACACACACTCACACACACACAGACACACACCTACACACACACACAAACTCTGTGCCCTGACCTCCACGTGTGCCTGCTGGTCCATACTGGGTCTAATGACACCGGGGCCTCCCACAGATCAATACCAAACTGTCACTCAGCTGGCAAGCACACACACACACACACACACACACACACACACACACACACACACACACAAAATAACCGGACAGATGCAGACACACACATGCACACGCACATGTAAGGTAGTGCAGGGTATGCGTTTGCACATTTGTGTATGCTGGAAGCGATGTTTTCTACAACCTCAGCAGATGGCCCCCCCGCCCCGCCACCCACACACACACACACACACACACATATACACACATACAAACACACACACACAAACTGGACTAAAGCCATATTCCCTCTCCTCAGCCGTTTTCTCACCCTCCTGCTCCCTCACACCGAGAGTCTGGGTCCTGATGTAATATTGATGAGGGAGGATGGAGGCCCTATAAAAAGTGAGAGGTCCTTGTGATGGTAAATTATAAATTGTCATCGATTTAATGTCAATGCCCACACACACACATACACACACACACACAAGCAAACACACTCAAAAGTATCAGAACACACAACAGCTCGTTTGGCCCAGGAGAGTGGCAGGATAGTCCTTTTTTTTCCTCCCTCTTCTTGACTAAACTTACTCCACGTCATTCATCGCCGTCTTTCCCTGTTTCTTTTCTTCTCTCCCCTACTCCTCCCCCTCCTTCACTCTCTCCTCCTCCTCAACAATCTCAAGCACCCATCCGCCTCTCTCCATACACATCTCAAGTGCCACTTAGAGAAGCAGACTGGGGCTTGAGCCAAACTCTGCTCTCTGTGGTTCTCTGTTTGTGCGACTGTCTGCGCGTGACTTTTTGTCTTTGGCATCCTGGAGTTGAGATCACAGAATTTGAAAAACACACACACACACACAGACACACAAATATCACCCCTTAAACACACATTTTCTCTTAATTCTGGTCACGCCGGATAATTTATGTCCAACTGCAAATCTGTTGACTGTGAAAATCTCTGGCTAAAAACATTTGTTTGTCTCTGTTAAATCACTAATTATAGGCTGGCACAACACAGGGCAGATGCAGGCTAATTCACCATTAGGCCGTTTGCTGTTTATTAAACTTTTATAATGTGATCACTCTGATAACAGCACAATTGTTTCCCTGGGCGTGTGTGATTATACTGTTGTACCCCCTCTGTCCCCTTGTAATGGCTCCCGCCGAGCGTGTGTGCGTGTGTCCGTGTGTGTATGTGTGTCTTGGAGCTTGCGGAGTAGTGTTTTCCATTTCTCATTAGAGTGGCACAGACTCCTGCTGCAGGGTCAATGAAGGGGGAGAGGGTGTGTGAATATGTGTGTATGTGTGGATCTGTTTGAAGGGGGAGTGGGGTGGTAATGAGCGCAGGAACATAATACTACGGCGTCCATTAATGCTCTGAGGCAGTGACATTAGGCATACTTAACTAATAGAGCCAGTCTCTGCAATTACCCACTGTTATCTCTGCAGCTTTGGAGGGGAACCGGCTTTAATAAATGTTTGTAGTGATGTGATAAATGCCAGGTTTGCTCATTTGTAATCTACACTGCGGGACAAGGGGAAGCGGGTGGATCTAATTGTTTTCCTCCGAATTCGAGAGTGTGGTTGAGTTCAGAGAAAGAGAAAGAGAGAGGAAATAAAAGCGTCTTTCCTTTACTGAACATTTTTCCTGCAGGTACATCTTCCTCTCTCTCTATCTCTCTTTCTCTCGGCTCTCAGTGGGGTTCTGTTACAGCTGTCCTCCTGTCAAACAGAGAAAAGCAGTCCATACCCGGTGCTCACCGTCACGTCGCTGCCTCCTCTTCCTCCTCTCCTCTCATCTCTCTTTCATCCAGGCCCACATCAGAGGCGCGGCCGCGATTGTGTGTGTAAACATCTTGTCATGCTAACACGGGCGTCATGACAGAAGAGAGACGCGCTTCATTAACAGCGTGCTTGTAAGTTTGTCTTTGTGTTTGAACGTGCGTGTGTGTGGGCTATATGTCTAGGCGCACAAGTGAGTGAGAGTGTTTTTCTTGAATTTTCTGGGGTCAAAAGTGGGAGATGTAGACTAGCTCTCAAAGCATATTGTACAAATGTGACACAGTTTAAGGGCTTGCATTTGCCTAAATCCTGCAAAAAGGGATATAAATGTGTCTCATCTTGTTAGCTGTACTCCAAACTCCCTCTCTGAATAACAACCACAACAAATAACTGTCAATTAACAAGCTAGAAATCACCAGCTACAGAAAATACTCCAACAGTTTCCTCTCATTGCACAGCCCTCACTCTTTTGGCAGTAAATTTTCCCTGTTTGTGTGAAGACAATAGCCAGAGGAAGAGAGAGAGGGAGTGGTGAGAAAGAGGGAGGAAAAAAAAAGAGGGTACAGGAGAAAGCGGTGCTGTTAATTGTTTTCCAGAAAAAGGTTGCAAAGGTCTGCCCGTTTTGAACTGAATGTCACCTCATGTAAATCACAGCCTCTGTGTTGGGGAAGCCAATAACCGGGATAATTAGCGCGACTCTCTCCCGTGCCGCACGCCCAGATTGAGGAAGAACACGCCGCGCGCCGAGGAGGAACGTTCAAACAGGAGGGGAAGATTCCAAGTGTGATTAACCGCAAAAACCTTCAGAGTTAAATCTGGAGGTTTTGAGTGGGAGGACCAAAAGAAAAGAGACATAGACGGAGGGGCAGAGATAGAGAGAAGGAAGAGAGAGATGAAGAAGAGACACACACATGGATGAAGAGGAAAAATCAGAGAGACAAACACAGAAGGAGACGTAGAAGAAAAGGAAACGAGTGAACATTCCTCCCAGTGAGGTCAAGCCACCCGGTAAACAAACAAACAACATGAGCAGCACACACACAAAGGGGGTGAGGCGGTGTAAAACAACAAAGTGTCTCAGTCGATTGCCTACGCCTTACTTTGTCTCCCCTCATCAGTTACATAAACACAAACAAAGGCCTTTAAATTCAGCTCTGCTTTTTGATCTGGAACGCTGACATGTGCTTGGGCCTCATTTGTTGATGATTAATGCAAAAGTATAAAGAATATATCAGAAATGTACGACTATATCGTCCCTTTGATCGAATACTGCTGTTGACCATAATTGTCTGCATGTTGACGTCGCTGCTTTACGTTTAATTACAGCAGAGACACTCCCTTGAAGATTCCCTTTCTTCTTTTAACATTGCAGCTCAAATTAGTCAAGCTCAATGTCACAAAACTCATATAGGAGAGCAGAAATGAAAAGCTTGAACTTGAAAATAACTCAGATTTGGGCGCTAAATAGCCAACTGTAAATGTTTTCTTTTTTTTATGTTCTTGAGAAAAGTGAGAAATTATGCAGGGAAAAGGGGGGAAATTACAAGTAAAGACATATTCAAAAGGATAATTCTTATGTTGCTATCACACCCTGTATCTCTCCCTCCCTGTCTCCCCCATGCCGTGCAGGTTTTCCTTCCATTGTGGCGTGTGAAACTGAGAGCGCCGCTCACAGCGCCTGGCCAGCGATCCATTCTTCCTGGGCAGATTGATGGAAAACAATCAACAGACTATACATCTTGCTCGGGCACAGCGGGTCACCAGCACTCATCCTGGACACCTGGACCTACATCCTGGGCTACAGTGCTGAGGTAAAGTGCCAGAAGAAGGGGCCGGGACGGAAACTGGCCTGATGGGAAATGAGACGCCAGGTTTGGTGGTGGGGGGTGGGGGGTTCGTGGAGCTGGCATGAAGTGTGCAGTCTGTGTTCTCACTTAGCAGAAATAATCAGTAAACAATGAATCATCCGTGAGGGCTGACATAAAGGGCGGCAGCACGGTGACACACTGGCTGCTGGGCCTGCTGGGAAAGGAGGCCTGAGTATCCTCCACCGAGAGGAGCTGGTGTGTCTATTCAATTAGGAGCAGTAACACAGGCAGCCATGTAACACATTGGCTGTGAGAGAGAGCACTTAGACTGTCCACACACATCAGAGCGCTGGGAAAACAAAGCAGCGCTCCTGCCACACACACATGTACACGCACGTCCGAATGTATAGCATCACACTCGGAGGTGCACGCTCGCGCTCTTCACGCCTCATTTGAAAAGCAAATTGAGCGCATCTTCTAGGGCGAGTCACGGTCTAAATCCTGGAAAACGTTACTCCTTCCTCACTCGCTCTACCAAACACGGTCATACATGAGACCTTCCTTATGGTAAATATATCTCCTTTCTATTTCAATCCCTTACTATCTCTATCGCTCCGTCCTGCAATTTCCAACACCAAAAATGTCTGAAATAGCTCGCAGCGAAGTAGGACGCTACTCATTTGGGTCAGCCCTGGCCGGCCGAACCCCTTCATTCTGGGACAGAACAAACACTGACACAAAGGCAGAGGGAACGGCCAAGGAGAGCGGCCAGGTCAGGCAGGGAATGTCGAGCAGTAATGACAAAGCAGTTTGCAGAGAAAAAAATAAAGCTCCTGCGGCGCTATTTACAGCAGCTCTGGCCAAAAATACCTCAAGAACTTTTCACTGTTGTGACATTTGTAAAGTACAGTTTATATGGCCTAATAAACTGTTTGCTACCTGTATTCATCTGGGGAGCATTAGCTTAACTACCTATAAAGTGTGATAGCAGCTCTGTTTAGTTTATTGGGGAAAGAATTAAAACACAACAATGCAACACTCACACACACACGCACGCTAACTTAAATTAACTTATTTTCAGTGTGCTCCTCATTATTTCCTGAACACAAAAACAAAAACAGATTGTCTTGATTTAATATTTCATATCATGGAAACAAACCCCTGTTTACTCTGAGAATGATGTGTTAATTTTTGTGAGGTGCTGGCGAATGAAAGCGAGTCAGTTGTTGGGGGGGTGAGAGTGCTGAAGGTCTGGATGAGAAAGAAAGAAGCAGCGCTGCTTTAAAGGCTCCTCGACCTCCAAACTCCCTGCTGTCAATCAGCGCAGCCGTCCGTCCCCTGGGGCCCCGCTTTCCTCCAACCCTGGGGGGGGAAACCACCGCAGGGAAAAAAGAACACAACCAAACAGATGCAGAGAGCTGCAGGTCAATGTGTGTGTGTGTGTGTGTGTGTGTGTGTGTGTGTGAATGTGTGTGTAATATTGTTGCACGCCTGTGGATTCCCGAAAGTGCGCATGCGTGCGAGCGTCTGCATATGTGTTTGTGCATGAGTGTTTATGAGTTTATCTGAAGGTGAGGGAGCTGCATCTGTGTTTATGTGTGTGCGTTAGGATGTGTGAGTGTGTGTGTGTGTGTGTGTGTGTGTGTGTGAGGCACATTTGTGAGGCAGCCAGCACCTGAGGGAGGGGAGTTCTGCCTGCATATCGATGAGCCAGCAACTCTGCCTCTTTGCCCCTGAGCCCTGCACAAACACCAGAGCCAGCTCAGGGCCAGTCCTTTTCAAAGCCGCCCATAACATCTAATGCAGCTGCCCCCCCCTTCCGTGAAGAAACGGCAGATCAATGAAGAAAACAAGAGTCTTCTTAAAGAGAAAAAGGCTGCGCTGAAATATCAAGGCGCAATCTGAGGAGATTACCCCTCCTCTTCATGAAAACTACAAAAACTGAGATAGTGTCGGCCTCAGGGTGTCACCGAGCTCCTCTTTGTCCTGAAGGGAAACATAAAGCTAATGATAAGTGGTCAGAGATAGATACATCACAAAGAATGGAAGAGAGAGGGGGAAATGCGGGGAAGCTCGAACACAGATCCCGATCATAAGAAGAGCTCAGCATTGAGGCGTCAGATGCATCAGCAGATGAAGTCAGAATCATGTTAAGTGTGTTTCTACCTTCTCACCAACAGTCCTGGATATGAAAGTGAAACTAAGCCGAGGGGACGGAAGGCGCTGCCAGTAAACCACATTAGCATCAAATGCAAATGAGAACGGGGCTAATGGCTGGACAGGTGCAGACTGGGCCTCTAAATGACACACACACATACACACAAATTTGCAGTCACACACACACACACAAACACACAAATGAGATGGATGAATTAAACATGGGTGGGCTCGGCTTGGGGGGGCTGGCAGGGCTGACATAAAGTCAATGACATACATTATTCACTAGCGCACGTTAGCCCAGCCAAGGCAACACATGACCTCTCACCCCAGGAAGTGCATCCAAACATAACAACCAAAACAATGAGGGGGTTCCCCACTTCACAGAGAGGCAGAGAGGAGCAGAGTGACAAACAAGAGATGCAGCAAAAATTCATGAGGTTGGAAGATATAATAATCCTGTAAACACCGCAAGATGCAAAGTTTGTCTGTTCCCGCCAGATGTGTCAGGTGATCTGGTGTCAAACCAGACCAGAAGTGAGGCCGAATCAGTCAGGAGGTCCACCAGCACTAACTCCCCAGCGTGAAGCTAAAAACCAGTCCGAACACTGGCTCACAGAACAGGAAACTGTCGGCCATGACATCATCTTCCCCGGGAGGAGCACTTCCTGCCCGACATTCTTCACTCAAGACACACACACACTCACCAGGAAATGGCCTCTATCAACACACACACACACTCCTGGGGAAATAACCAACACCGGCTCGGATACACAAGCACAGACACGCATGCGAGGAAATGGGCCACATCGACGGCGGGCTGCAGGAGTGTGTGCAAAAGCAAACATACACAGGCACACACTCCAAAACGGCTTTAAACCTGAAATAACATGGTGTTTGCATGTAAACTCAATACCGAAAACCCCTCCCTGCATCGTGACTGGAAAGAGGAATCATGGGATACGACGGGGCTATCCAGTGGATCCTTATCTCTGGTCACAGAGAGGTTTCCTCCCCCCTCAGGAGAGGCTCTCCCTGCCTGGGGGACACCCTGCGGTGCTGGACAGGCAGAAAAGAAGCAGGGGACACAGGTGGCAGGAAGCAGGAGAGGACACAAGGGGCCGGAGGGACAGTCATACCCCCAAAGAGAATAAAGCTGAGAGTTTCGACTAGAATTTTATGGATGCTGAATAAAAAAAATGGAGTTCTTTCAGGAGAGAAATCCAAGAAAACAAATGCAGCGAGAGAGCAAAGGTGCCCATGGGTGAGAGGGAAATGTGCTTGTGATTTGAGGCCCATCCAGGCACATGATAGACTGACTAGCAGTGGCTGCATATGATTAACCTAACGCTAACAGGAGTGATGGGGAGAGGTGGAAGTGGAGGTGGAGGGTTAAGGGCTCCCCTCATATTATCCTGCCTCTGTAAGAGGCTAAAGTGGACCACACATGTTTCCCTGGGGAAGATATTGAGAGGAGCACAGGAGCTTCTCACCTTTCAGCTGCTTTTCCTGCCCAGTGTCAAGAACAGACACAACATGTCATGCCAGGGTCTCTCTGAATTTCCAGACCCCCCCTACTACCTCAGCGGTTAGACACATAGACTATGTGAGTCGTTTCCATCTTTGCAGACTGATTCAAATCAGATGGGCTTTGAAATCTCTCTGAGTCAGTCAGAGATGACAATGATACTTGTAAAATTGAAAGCCGCTGCAACCATGAGAGCTCGAAACTAAAACAGCATGAAAACAAGACAGACTGTGGGGGATGTTTCATTCAAAGTCTGTTAAAAAAAAGAAAAAATCAAGAAATGTTCAAGTGTTTTTTCTCTCATGCACTAAACAAACATGCTTTATAATTAAAATCTGTATCATATTGCTCCATGTAGACACTTTAAAGCCCAAACAAATTTCCTTTTCCACAGGAGGAGAGATAAAGAGCGGGGCGAGCCGGATTCTCCCGGTGAGCGAATACAGTACCCAAAGCGCTGCCGATCCACACTGTACCAGATTTGTTCTCCTAACAATCAAATAAGTTTCTCATTAGCTGACTTTATTTTTCCTCATTCCTGCGGTTTTGCTGCAGTGGCCTGTTTCTCCCATCTTAACGAGAGAGAGCTAATTAGGCAATCAGACCCATTACTCTTCCAGAAGAGTTAGAGCTAGCCCAGCTAATTAGGGCTGTAAAATCTAATCATCTCTGCGAAACAGCAGAGGGCTAACGAGCCCTTATTTAACGAACTAAATAACTTCAAGGGTGGAGAGGGGCTGCTGATGGTATTTCTTTATGAATTTGAAGGAGGGGAACTCACGGTAATTGAGTCAGTTTCACCCTCACAGTTGTTTGTTTGTTTATGAATCCCTGATTATTACAACTGCCAAGAATATATTGGTACTAAATGAGCAAACGAATAAACCCTCCCCTCCTTATTCTCCTTCAGTCCCCCCTCTCTTTAAACCGAGCCAGCCCCCCTGATCACTCTCCTCTCACCTGACCTATTTTCCTGTCCAGAAAGAGTGCTCGCTGGAGAGGAAAAAGGAGATATTGCTGTTGTTTTCCCTCCCCCTGTTCTAATTTGTTGTTCGTTAATGCTGCCCTCACACCTGAGCCATCGGGCGTCAGGGGAATACCGCCAGGGAGCGACCACAACACATGCTCAGTGTGGGAAAGCTGTTCTGCAGCAGCTTGTTTCGCCGAGGTGGCTCTGCTCAAACTGCTGCGAACTGATGGGAAAGTTTTTTTTTTAACGCGGCAACGAAAGGATGGGGCAGGAAAAGCAGAAGGAAGGGGTGCAAAGATGAGAAACTCAACAAGTACGCGGTCGTGAAAAACAAAAATCAGAAATGTGGCACAGAGTGATGGGCAGGCGTGTTGTCTGAGGCCACGTGGTGGGGTGCAGCTGTCTCAGGGAGCGCTGAGGTGAGGCCTTCCGCTTCACTGGAGCGGAACGAGGGTGTCGCACACACACAAACACACACATACACACACACAGGCATACATACAGACACAGGTAAAGAGTGGCTTTTGACAGAGCAGCAGCGAGAACAGGACAGCTGTGTTCATCAGATAGCACAGGTCACTGCCTCATTAACACACACGTAAAAATGCACTCAAATGTGACACATTCAAATCAGACATAAAACCTAAATAACCCATGATGCACTTCTTCTTTTACCTGAGCAGTTTGACAGGTTAAAGATCACAAAACTGCAATCAGAAAAAGAGGAGTGCATGCCAGTTTTTGCTCTCCTTCCTCCTGCACAAAGCGTCTCAAAAGCCACACGCTTCAACAATTGCTGGAGTATAAACAAGTGATTTCCCTCACTGTGAACGTCCACACTTGTGCCACACGCGCACACACACACACAGCTCAGTCTGGACTGTAAATCAACCCGGGTTTTCTTCACTCCGACTAACTGTAAATCATTCGAGCAGCTGCATCAGTCAGAGGTAGTTTATGACGGCAGGAGAAAGGTGTGCACTCAAAGAAAAGTGTGCGCAGGAGTGTGTCAAGAGAGGCAGACAAGCCACAGTGCACACTGAGCGAGATTTATCCGCATAAACACACACTTATACACACGTACACACACACATGTCAGGATGTAGCTGTAACCCTAACTGCTCATCAGCTAAGTCATCAGCCAAACCACACAAACAGTGTTTGACCACACTTGAAGCCCAAGCTTCACCGCTCTGTGATTGCTCCTCCTCCTCACACACACCACTGGAATATTATTTACTGCTGTTTCACACGTTTTCCCTACACACTCCATTATGGTCGCTGAGATTTAAACAACCTGCGGCCTGCTTCATTTGGCCCTCTGCTGAAACATTAGTCAAAAAGCTTCTTTGAAAATTTAGAGGAAAGTCTGTCATCCTTTTTATTTGAATTTCTGGTATGTTTCTGCAACGTTTTCTTGCACACATGCCATGTTTGTGTTTGCGGTGACGGCGCAGGATCACATCTTCGGGAGTTAAAGGGCAAAGTTTGCTTACCTGTCGATGATGACAGGGTCTGATGGGGTCTCGTTCCTGTTGCCGCAACTCTTCTTATCACAGCATCGACTGTGGGGAGGTGAGAGGCGGGGAGGGGGAGGGAGACAAAGGGAGAGAGAGTTAGCAGCAGACATGGGAACAACCGAAAGAGCAAGATAACATGGAGTAAAGTGAGCGAGAGGAAGCTGGAGGAGGGATGCAGGAAGGAGAGAGAGGTGTAAAAGGGCGTGAGACTTTTGCGGAGTGTAAGAATCAGTGTGAGCTGGATTTTTGTCGGGATTCTGGAGGTAAGACCGGGGCTCTGGCGCTACATTCGGTGAGATCAGCGCGGTGGTTTTTAGGAAAAAGTTTGGGGGAGAGGAGCTAAAACAGCGAGCTTGAACGAGGCTGGATACAAACTTGAATTAGCCTCCAGGGCTCAGGTTAGCTCCATTTCTGTCAGACATCACACAACCAGACATCTTATGTTCTCTATTTTTCCTTAGTGCTCGTCCCCTCCCTCTATCCCGCCTCACTCTCTCTCTCGCTCGCTCGTTCTCTCTCTCAGAAGTGGGTCACAGAGTGGTCCCACTGGACCTGGGGAGTAGTGCATGCTGGGTAGAAGGGGGTTGCATACTGATGTGACGAGTCCTTTCTGAATCATTTGACTGCAGCACAATGTAAGAGTGTGTTTTCTACCATCAACCCCCCTCCCCTTACACCCCCTTAAAAAGTATCACCACGTCTACCTTTTCTTCTCTGTCTGCTGGTGTGTGTGTGTGTGTGTACCTGTGTCTGACTACATGTGGGCTCTACTGTAAACGTGTGTGTGTGTGTGTGATGGAGAAAACACAAAAGAGAGAGAGAGAAAAGGGGGAGAGAGATTGACCCTCCCCCTTACTTTCTTGAGTCCCTCAGGACAGGAGGCTTGGAGAGCCAGATCAGATTTCTGATCTCCACCGTTTCCTGCAGCATATGAAAACAAGTGGTCCAAATTGCCTCGTGTGATAACCAGGAAGTGGCTACACTTTGCCACCAGCCATTTCTCCACACCTAACACTGCATGGATTTCAAAATCACTGCTTTGTTAGGCACAATGACAGGCTGTGTGATGCTTTTATTGATTGTAAATGCACGCGACGGCCTGTGAGAGCTATGCTTACTTTAGTGTATCCGACCCAGTGTGTGTGTTGTGTGAATATGTGTATATTCTGTGTAATTTGAGTCCGACCCCCTCTGCACATAGCTCACTGTCAGGACACAGCAAACTGCGTGTATTACACAGTCTACGGAGGATGGGTTTGAGTAATGAGCTTTTCCTTGTCCTAATTAGCCGAACATGAGAGAGATACACACACACACATATACATACACAGACACATGCACACACACCCCTATCAACAGAAATAGGCCAGGGCCCAGCTCCCCAACCCACTTTGAGGAAAATGATAAGATTTTTATTGTAATTTAGCAGCTCTGCTCATGTCTTAACACCGGCAGGATCACCTTAGATATGAGAGCTAGAGACATTTTAATCCACTGATGAAGATGACAGCTGGGCTGAGAAATCTTATATGTAGGTGTGTGTGTATGTGTGTGTGTTTGGCCTTACCTGCACATGATTTCGTGGGTCAAAAGGACCCGGCACATCTCTGGGTTTTTATCCTGGCCTTCATAGACGATCGCCTGAAAAAAAGGAAGAAAAAAGAAATAGGCGTAACTGTGATTTATATTTTAATGCGGCATGCTTAAAGAAATAAAAAAATGAGCCACATTGCAATGGCAAAAAAAAAAAAAAAAAGAAAGAAAAAAAAGAAGTGTGTGCTTGTGTCTTTCATCTGGGAGTAGTGTTGTCTATCTGGCAAATATGTGTATCGTGGGAATCCAGTCCTCCTGAGCAGAACGCTCTGTTCTGACAGAGACAGTCACAGAGATAGATTTTGTGTGTGTGTGTGTGTGTGTGTGTGTGTGTGTGTGTGTGTGTGTGTGTGTGTGTGTGTGCTTTTAAATGGGTGTGTGTGTTGTTCTGATCGTGCATATGTGTTTGTGCGTGCACGTATGTTTATATGCTGTGTACAGTGAGCAGTTGGACTGCCAGACTGGAGTATAGTGCACCATCTGGTCCATACAGCACCGCGTCCAAAAATCTAGTCTGGTTACCCCTCCAACCCCACTCAACATGCTCTCCAGGGCTGTGATCACCCCGCTCACACACACACACACACACACACACACACACTCACACCGATAAACATGCAAACACACATGCACCGCATGTGCATTCACACAAACACCATCCCCTCCTACTCCTTTCATTCTAAGGCAAACTCTCTTCAAGCCTAATGGCACTAGAGGCAGAATTGGCAAAACAAAAGACCTGATATCAAAACAACGTATTTTCCTTGCTATCTAATTTAAAATGAAGAATTCCCTCAGTGTGTGTCAGCCCACATGTGCTGCTCTGTATTTCTTTGTGTGATTGAATTGGCCATAACACACTCAGGGATAGTTTGTTCTGTTTCACATTGAGGAAATGAGGGTCAAGGTCCTCAAAGAGTGAGCTGGCATGCATCACTGTCTTTCCCAAACACTAACACACAACAGCTTCTGCAACTCTCCCACATATTCACGCACTATACAATCCCAAAATCACACAACTTTACACGCACACACACGTACACAGTTACTGCCCAAGGCTTGTAAAAACACACACACTCTATTCCTTCTTACTGGAGAAAGTATAAGGACACATGTCCTCTACTTTTCTGGGCCTCTGTAAATGTATTCCACAGGTAAGACAGGTCGTTTATCACGCCGGCTGTGCTGTGCTGAAGTTGAGGGTCTCAGACACAGGCATGCAGCAGGGCGAGGAGGGAGAGCAGAGGGGGGAGGAGGACTGAGGGAGGTTGGAGTTGTGTGCAACATTTAAACCAACATCTAAACACTTAGATTAAACACTAAAGCCTAAAGTTTGAACTAAACTTCTTACCTGTTTGGTCATGGAGTCGATGAGTCGAACATACAGGTCCTGCTCTGTTCTGATGCCTACAAACCCAAAAAAGAGAAAATGTTATTAACAGGTTTCACATCACATGTGAGGCTCAGCTTTCCCCCACTTTGGGAATATTTCACTTGACAAGATTTCTTTTCATTTTGACTTCCCCAGTGAGTCTTTATGGGAGCTGAACGAATTCAAACTGCTCTGATGAATTACAGTATTTTTTGCAGACTGAAAGTTTGCCTGGAGCTTCTCATTTACTTGCAAGACTTTCCTAGATATGTATCCATATAAACACTTTTTTTCCACCTTTATTGTGCAAAGGGCCAAAGAAGAAAAACATTATTTTGAATTATAATTTGAATTATTCAAGAGTAAAATAATTAAACTGTTAAAAGTGGAGTGGAAAATCATTTGTTTTGTCTTATTGGACTGCTTACTTTTGCAAAAATAGGCTGGCTGGAAAATATATTTACTCTTTTGAAGTGTCAGGCACAACATGATCATAATATTGATAATAACTGTAATAGTAACTAAAATAAAAATATGTGTGTGCAAATAGAAAACATTTCCAGGATTTGTCTGCACAGATAAAGCAAACACATTAAAACACTGGGTAAAAAAAAAAACGATCAGTGAAGTGACCTCCTGAAACATTAGTTTCCTCTGTTAGTTTCCTCTCGTCGGTTTGACGGATCATTCACTGGCTGCCTTTGTTTTTGCTCCATAAAAACGATGGAAGCCAAACTCACCGTTACTGTAGAGGAGCTGGAGTCTATAATGGATCCCATTGTTGGTCTTTTCCCCCGTCGTTTCCTATGAAAATTAAACCAAACGGAGCCGAGTCACAGCAAAGCAAACCCCTCTCCTCCTGGGAGTCATACTGCGCGTCAAACATATCACATTTTTACATTATTCTCACTTTCCGTCCAATTGTAATTCATTCACTCTGATTCACACTACCAAATTAAAAGAAAATTTCATGTTGTTAATTTGGATATGCATCCCTTTATTTTTTGTGTAAACAGGAGTTCTTAGTTTTCCAATATCTGAAAAAAGAACCTGCTTATTGACAAATGGGCCTGTTTACAACTTTAATGCTATGTACCCGAAATGTAAATGATTCATAAATATTGCAACATATCTGAAATGATAGTCAATAAACGCCTCAATTATTTCAATATTTAATGATTCAGATGTCAACGGGCATTAAAATGTTACCAAGAGAAAAACAGACATTTTGATCCAGCAAATAAAAAGACTTCACTAAAACTAACAAATGAAACATTTATTTAAAGGAATCGCTTACATTGAATTCTCCTTGCAGACAGGTCAATATTACACTAATATTGATGTTCGATTTAAAATTAGATATGTATGACAACACCTGCAGGAATAGACAACCCGCTGTGCTCAACTGTCATAAATTCAATAATACTATAGAGGCGACTATGTGTGTGTGTGGAAGTCTTCCTGCACGACGTTCACGTTTTAAGTTAAATGTGTTTCAAATTACGTCTGACTGTTTTTGAGACGATGACTCATAGTTAGAATAATCAGAAGTGTGTAAATCATGCAGGAAACAACATGATAAAATGACACTCTGGAGTCTTGAGGGCGCATGATCCCTGCTGTGTGCGTCTGCTCACTTCGTTAACACACGTCTGGTAATTCAGCTTTACATGATCAGGCCGCTGGACTTGTGTTTGTAATATAACTTAAAATGTTTCCTCTAAGCTCTCCAATCTGGAAAATGTGTGTTTTTGAAATCTGCGAGAACTCACCTTCTCCTTTTCCACGAAGTCCACGAAGGTGGTCCTCTCTATTTCCACCGGCTGACCCTGTCGGTCGTATAACGCCAGCACGAAGTGGAAGAAGTTGGACTTGCGGAGGTTGGAGGGCGGCTGCTTCTCGAAGTGCGCCCGAGCAAGACCCACTCCGCTGCGGACACAAGCACAAACCGGCACCGGACAACGACAGCGATTAAAATAAATCCACTCCAAAAATAGACAACACAAAGAGACCTGCGAGAGACAGCCGCGTGTTTCTGTCACTGTCTTTCTATTATTCTTTTACCTGACAGATAATTTAATTAAAATACCTCTCCATTACGCACAAACACATTTTGCAGTGTTATCTACAATAATTGAACAAAAATATCTACATACTAAAGCACAGGCCCGAATTAGTTTGTATTTGAGGATTAATTTAGACAGAGCAGTCATCCCCATGCTGGCAGAGTTTCTGTCAATAAAAGTGCAAAATTCTTATTTTCAAGTTCTTCAAAATGGGCCTATTGAAGAAATCTTATATTTTCTTTCTTATTTGGAAAAAAATATTTTTCTCAAGCAGGAAGATAAATATTTATGAATGAAGTAATCTACTCGGTTTAAAAACACACCCAGAGAAAATGCCATCCTCCGAAGTGAGCAGAAAATCTTCATCACAAACTCACAGCACACCGAAGTTGCTGTGAGCCCACATTTAAACCCTGCCAGCCTAAAAGTGCTTGGAGCTAACTGTGCATTCCGTCCAGAAGTACGTGCTACCACTTTGAGCCACATTATTAAATCATGTTGGACTTCAAGCTTAGAAAACTTCTAAAGCCAGCAGGAACACTGATTATCCAACAACTGCGTCCTCTGGGGACGCGCGCTGCCCCAAGTGATACAGCCGCCCCGTCTTTAACACCGGAGATCTTTACGCGCGCTCCCCCCCACACAGGTCTCCACGCCCCGGTGTCAGCGCAGCGCCAAGGCTGCCTCGGGCTCACCTCTGGGCTGCTGTGTTGGCGTCCAGCACTCCGGCGCCCTGCATCCATGTCCGAACCGCGTTCATCCCGGCCACCATGGGCTCCTCTTTCATACTACTCCCACTCCTCTGGATGCTCTCGTGGATGCCAAACATCAAAACGCACCTTCACACTGTCGCTATCTCTCTCTCACTCTCTCTCTCTACTCTCTCTCTATCCTCCTCTCCTTGGCTCCCTCCTTTTTCTCTCCCTGCCTCCCCTCCTCTTGTGTCTGTTTGATCGCGCTGTCAGAGGAGCAAAGTGGCGTGGTCTATTTCACTTGGCGTTTAGTTGCGCGTGTGTTTTCTCAAAGTAAACAAAAGATGCGACATGTGGAAGGAAATAGGGGAGCTGTCAGCATCCAGGGTTAGCTGCACCTCATGTCAGCGACTCCAGAAGAAAAAAAAAAGAGAGGGGGAAGCTGCAGCAGCTGTGAAGATGAACAACGTGAAAGCGATGAAAGGGGAAGCGCAGGATGAGAGGCTGCGCTGAGTTGGCGACAGTCCTCCGGATCAAGGTGCAGCTGACAAAAACACGCGCAAAATGTCACTTTTTTGCAACAAACAGTCCACAGTGAGAAAGAAAAACCAAGGAAGATGAAACACCTCCTCCTTTACAAAGTCTTCTCCTCTGCTCAGATGGATGAAACGGAAGATTACGCGCAATTAAGAGGCAGTCCTGGGCAGCGGCGTCTCCGCTCCTCGTCAGCTCCTGCTCGGGTGATTTGCGCTCGATTCTTCCCTGAGGAATCACTTTGGACCATCTCTGGGATGCCAGACAGGAGAGAGAACTAGTAGGTGAGGGAGGCGTGGTCTAGGAGGCGAGCGAACACGCCCCCAAACACAGTTAATAACATGGACAATCAGCTGTCCACCAACCCGACCAGCATGCTGCTTCCCCGCCCGCCTGCCTGCTGTCCCCGCCTCGTCCCACGCAGCGTCCCGCCCCGGCCACTTAGCCAGAAGCTGTGCACGGTGTGTGTGCGCCAAAGTGTGTGTGTGTGCCTTCGTGTATATGTGTTCGGAGTTGACAATTAATGCATTCACGACTATCAAACATGAACTCAGGGGAGGACATTAGTTTAATCCACGCAGTTTGCCCGTTGAGACCAAAGGGTTTGCAACATCCATCGTCTGCTTAGAGCTGCTGCTTTGAAAATGTGCCCGCATCATGTCTGCAAAAACAAGACCAAACACAGCCCGGTCACATTTTATGTGCATCAGCAAAAAAATATTCTTAAAGTTGAAAATAACTTGAAGCAACAGAGAAAACAAAATTTGAGCTGCACCAGTTTTTTTTAAGATGCATTTTTTCGTTTATATTTGTCCACCAAAGACATGAGCAGCCATATTCTTTTCATTATTTCAACAAAACGACTTTATTTTAACAATTTAAATGGAATTTAAATGTTTTATTTTCTCACAGGAAAAGAAACAACAGTCTAAGTGTTCATTCAGAGTATCAACTCGGGCAGATTAGGAGCTTAAGAAAGTTTCAGCTCACCAAAAAGCCTGGCAGGCGCTGCGCACATTTTTCTGTTTCAGCCCGATGGTTTGAAATCAGCTTTGATTAGATGCATTACTGAAATCTTGCGGGACTAAGGGCTGAATCCAACATAAATACGAGGATTATTGCTAAACTCTGCTGTGTCCCGCCGTCCAAAAAATTGCAATCTATCTCGAGTTATTGCTCAAGAAAAACAATAATTTTATCAAAAAAAATGTGTGAAATAAATATTTGCATGGCTGCTCACAGACGCGTGAAACTGCACAGTGGGCTTGCATGCATGAAAAGTGCACAGCAAAGACCAGCTCTGCAGAAAGTGAGGATGTTGGAGCTCTCCTCATCAGTCCTGCATGTTTCCCCCTCTTCATCATTACATAGTCAGTGCTAAATTGTTAAATTGAATTGTCTGGGGGCCATCTGTTCGATAAGTACTGTTTGGTTTCTTGTAGCTAATGAAATGAGGGGAATGAAAGAGAAGCTTTGGATTATCAAAGAGGAGTGTTTGAAAATTAAGATTGGGATCAAGAGTTGTTCAAATGAAGCTGTTTGACACGTCGATGTTGGTGGTATTGGCACGGTTAAACTGCGCATTCAAACTAACCCTTCTTAGATAATATGCTTCTATTTTGTCATCATTTCAACTCTTTAAAAAAAAGTTTAATTTTTTATTTTGAGCAATTTGAGGAAATTTAAAAGTTACATATCCGCGGATTCTTGTCTGAGCCACTTTTGAATAAATTCCATAAACGGTCAAGCTCACACTCTTCATCCCCGCAATCACCTCATCATTGTCTGTGGCTGTTTATTTATGTCTCCTGCTGGGGGAGGAGAAATGCGAGTCCACCACCACGTGAGTACACCATACAATAAATAGTGATAAATACAAGCAACGTGAGATTAAATGTCTCTCACACTCACACTGCCGCACTTTTGCGCACACACAATCACACACACACACGCGCTCAGAGCTATCCTTCAGCACATTTGTTTGATTGTGGCCGGCTCTCGCGCCATGATCTGTCTGCCTTGGTCGGCATGCGGGTCCGCGCAAACCCTCAAGGCCCCCCTGGGGTGGCATATATTTATATCCCTGAGCACCAACACACAGTGTTAGCCCAAATATCACTGTCTCAGTATCCAGGAACACAGATGTCAGTTGGGGCCCGCTGATCCCGCCATGTTAATGCTGTGATTTACTAACTCCATGGCACCCGGACAGAAAGCTTTGCAACAATATCTCCGGTCATTACGCACAGACAAGGCGGGAATGTGCGCGCCATGTCAACCATGAAAAGGTGTGTGTAGGAGGGTGTGTGTAACTTTGATTCAAGTGTCCACATATGGGGAGACTATTAAAATCCTCTGCGTTACAACTCGATTGGACATTTTGAAGTAAGTGATCAGAAAGGAGCAGTGCGGACTGCCGTCCGCTTCCTGTAGGTACCAGCAGATGTTCCCGTAAATCAAAAGGTTGAGCTGATGATAATAATGGCCTGATTGAATTGAAGACTCATAAAAATGACTAGTTGTAAAAATCAGACATATGCTGGAGAGAATGGGCCTTATGTCCAACAATATGCTCTCTGGTAGACATAAAAGAAGACAAATTTAGATGTTAAACGTCCAATATGTAGACACGACACCAACAGAATGTTAGTGATTGAAAGCTAAACAACAAGAAATTTTATATTTCACGAATAAGTGGCTTCACACACATTAAAGGGAATATTTAATTGCTGCTTAACCAAAAGAAAAAAATAACTGCTTTGAATGTAGAAACGCGGGAAAATTAAAGGAAAAATTACAACTTTATGTTGCTAATCCAAAACTACACAATATACTTTTATCTTACTTTTTTGAGTGCGTATCGCATCTGTGGCATATCCAATGATGACCTCTCACTCCTTCTCAGGTGACTCGCAGATTCCTCATCACGAAACCATTCATACTGTATTTGGTGCGATGTTGCCATCTAGTGGCTTTAAAAGAACAATGCATGACCGAGGTAATACATCATACTTCTAATAAGTCAGTATTATTCCAGATAGTGTTGCATCTTAAAATAAACGTATGACTTTTTACATTCATCAAAATAATCTGTAAATGTCAGTAACTGGATTTATGCGGAAAAAGTCGAACTGGTGAAGGATCAGAATAAATTTATTACTCAGAATTTGGGGGAGTTATGTCAAAAAGCAAAAGGACACTTCTTTTTGACTTTCATGAAAATCTACTTTGAATTATTGAAAATCACGTTTTTTTTGTCTTCATATAAGGTGCTTTTGGCCGCCAAATATTGTTTTTAATAGGAAAAAAAATGCACTTCCGTACTTAGCTGATGAGGGCTTCATGACCAGGTTTTCTACTTTTGTGTTTCTCAGTCTGTTTCAAATGAAGTCATGTGAAATTGCAGTTTCTCTTTCTCTTCCCTGTGAGTTGCGATCCTTTAACCAGAGTTTTTTTCTTCAGATTTAGAAGTCTTTTTTTTTTAAATATATATATGGAATCTTTTTATATTTAAATGTACTTCCAAGAAGCTCTAGGGGGCTACATTCACACATTACACAAGCAAAAAACAAAAAGGTCAGATTAGAGGGACCTCTGTAAGTAGTGACGCTTTTACAGGCAATACTAATGTTGTTTGTAAATTAATGGAACATGGCCTGCTAACTTTTTCATGCTAATCCTCTCCATCTAGAAACCTCTTAGTTTTTTAAAGGATATCAAATAGACTGCAGCTGAAGACACAGTCCTGCTTGTTAAGTCCTACATAAAGTAATGAATAATAATGATAAAAGAAAGGAAAAGAAAAAGAACATCTTTTTACCTTTGCCTGATTTCTTTAGCAAAGAGACTGAACACAACTCACCCACTCTCCTCCAGCAGCCGCTTGTTTGTGAGGGAGGAGGGTGTACTTTGGCTAGTACTATGGCTGGGACCCTATATGTACTGTTGATGAAGTTAGGTGCTGTTCTAAGAATTATATGTTGCTTTTTGGCTTTTTGGTTGAGGTTTGTGTGTGGAGACGTAGACTGCTGTGTATTGCTATTGTGTGGTCATTGATGAAGTTGATATAACTAGAGAAGCAAGCAGTCTGCACCATTCATCTCTCGTGGGGGTGTCTAACTTTGTGTTATGGTGTGTTTGACCCTAAATTAAGTTTACGCCGGAATATCCCTTTAAGTGGTTAAACTCTGATTAAGCATATGCATAATATCTTTGTAAAACATTTACAGTTTGATCACAGTCTGCCCTTTGACCTTTTTTCATCAGAGACATGCACGTGATTGATTAAGAAAACTCATGGCCGAAGTGAGACACGTTGCACACTCTAAAATACACACGACAGTGAGAATAGAGCAAAGGTCAGAGCTGACTCAAAGCACTTTCAGAGTAGTGTGTTTCATTGTCTCAGTTCTCCCTTTTTTAAAACTGCTTACCTTCGCCGAACATTGTTCAACTAAATGACACTGATAGCTGTTTGTTCCATGTGGTTTCACTGATGTCATTTTTTCAATTGTTGTGTGTATGAACTGACTTGATGGCAGTTGACTGGAGATAAATAAAAAATGATCTAATCTAATGTAATCTAATCTAAAATGATCTTATCAAATCTACTCATTGACATTGTGTAAAACCTGAATAAAAACAGAATACAATGATTTGCAAATCCTATTTGACCTCTATTAGAGAATAAGAATAAGGATAAGAAGAACATTATTAATCCCCGAAGGGAAATTCAATATATAACAATACTATCAATATACTACAATGATAAGATATTTAATGTTCGAGCTGATGAACTTTTTTTCCCCCCTAATATTCACTTATTTTGAATTTCATGCCTGCAACGCATTCCAAAAAAGTTGGGACAGGAGCAACAAAAGACCCAGAAAATCAGAGAGTTTGGAACATCCAAAAGTGAACAGGTTCATTGGGAACAGGTGAGTGCCAAAATAAATGAAGTATCCCAGAGAAGTTCAGTTGTTCCCAAGCAAGGACAAGGTGAGGTTCACCATGTTGCATACAACTGTGAGTAAATAGTCCAACAGTTGAAGAACAATGTTTTTGACAGTAAAATTACAGAAATTCAGAGATTTCATCACCTACAGTCCATAATGTCATCAAAAGATTCAGAGAAGCTGCAGAAATCCCTGCACATAAGCAGCAAGGCAAAAAAACAACAGGACTGTATTACAAACCCACATCACTCTGTAAAGGACATTACCATGTGGGCTCAGGAACCCTTTAGAAAACCATTGTCAGTTAACACAGTCTGTCTCTACATCTAGTGCAAGTTCAAACTCTACTTTGTAAAGCAAAAGCCACACATCAACAACACCCAGAAACACCGCCTGCCCCTCTGGGCCCAAATTCATCTGAGGTGGACTCACTCAAACTGTGCTATGGTCTGACGAGTCCACATTTCAAATAGCTTTTTGAAATCCTGAATGTGGTGTCCTCCAGGCTAGAGAGGAAAAGGACCACCAAGACCGTTCTCGGGTCACATCTGTGATGATACGGAGGTGTTTTACTGCCCATGGCATGGCTAACTGTCACATCTATGAAGACTCATGCTTAAAGGTACATACAGGTTTAAGAGCAACAAATGCTACCATCCAAGCCACGTCTTTTTCATGGACCTGCTTATTTCAGCAAGACAATGCCAAGCCACATTCTGCATGAATTACAACAGCGTGGCTTTATGTAAAACAATGCAGGTATTGGACTGGAGTATTTTTACACAGAGCCCAACTTCACTGTGGAATTGGGTTTGTGCAACTTTCATTTTCAGTAGGGTAGTTAAGCTTTCATTACAACAGCAACAAGACCTTTCATTGTTCATCCCTTCAACTTCTTGAATTGGGGGGAATAAATGAACCAAAGTGGAAACATTTCCCAAAACTGTGATCTCCAAACAACTTAAAAGATTTAAAGGTCAGGGGTGTCATGTTTGAATTACATACTATTGCGGCCCTGAAAGTACTTACATCACTGATCTGTTCTCCTTTTTATGAAAAGGAAGTGAAGAGAAGATCAACCACAACCTCCTGATCAGACACCCCATGAGCCAATACTGGGACAACTAGCTCACCACTTTCTTAAGGCATGTTTGTTTGGATTTTTCTTGGGGTTTTGAAAATATGTAAATCTGTGTATCCACTTTGCTTATTACTAAGCTGGAAATTTGAGGTTGTTGGATCTGCTTTTCATCTTCAAAAGACAATGAGCAGAAGTATTTTAATTTGTCATCATACCTTAAAATACAGTGTGGTATGACAAAAAAAAATATGATTCAATACTCTCTGCTTGAGGTCCTCAATGAAAACGAGAACTTCTGACTTTTAATTTACCTGGCAGTTTAACCCACTAAACTGCATAATAAAAACAGCATGCTTTTTGTTCCTGTCTAAGTCTGCTGTAGCTTTCTTCTATTAAAGTCTTGGAGGCACTTGATACTGAAACGTGTACAGGGACAGAACCTGCAGACCTGCTTTCATTTATGTTTAGAAATTGGTAATACAGATAAAGTAAAAACAAATTCTCAACAAGTGAGACAACTCCCTGAAACCTGTCATCAGTATCACACTTCAAAAATCAAATTCAAATACGGCGTCTAAAAACTTAAAGATACGTTTTCAGCAACAGGGATTAGGCAACTTATCCGAAGAGAGGGTACGTTGAATAAAACAAAATACAGAGAGATCCTGGATGAAAACTTGGTCTAGAGCACTCCGGGCCAAAGACTAGGATAAAGGTTCAGCTAGCCAACAGGTCCAAGACCCTGAGCACAGTCAAATGTGTTAAAAAAAGGGCATCTTTAGAAAGACTCTGACAAGTCCACATCTTTAAGAATTACTCTGTGCCATAACAATGTGAGGGCAAAGTGAAGGGGTGTGAATACTTTCCGTAGACGATGGTATCAGGTTAAAAGAAAAGCAAGAGAAGCTGTCACAGAGTACTTTTTCATTTGAAATGTTTTGATTTGTGAAGAGTGTCAGTGAAAAGGCAAGGGAAGCTTCAGCAGCACCAGGATTAAGACTACGTGAATAGTGACTAGTGACTAGTTTCAGAATTCACGCCTACATCTTTGACTGCACCCGCAGATTGTGAAAATGCATTTCTAATCTTTTTTTAACTACTTTGAAATACTTTTAAAAGTATTTAAATGAGCAATGTTTACTTGTATTTGACTGATAAGTGACCGACAGTATCTATTTTGACTCAGAGTTATGGTATTACTTTTCCTACCACTGCTGTTACCTTAAAAATATGCCAAATGAGTATTTTCAGGGTCAGGTCTCAAATACAGCAATTGAATCTGGAATTAATCAAACAGATGACACGTTTTTTTTTCTCCACAGTTATTTTAAACTTCTCTTTGGTCCAGGGCTTTTATTAAAGGTCACAAGGTTGAATTGCTGCATTTTACGGTCACAAGTTATAAGGTTGATGGCATTAAAGGTTGAAATAACAGATCATGACATTTCTAAGGAACTATGGTTGAGTCAGAGCCACACTCAACAACACACTTTCACCTTTATCTGGGGAAACTGCAACTGAAGATTACAGCAGGGACTGGAAATGGCCTTTCCAAAGTCAATGCCCTGGTGTTAGAATTTTAGTGTTAATCAATGTATTTCTGTATTTCCCTAAAGGATGTCTGAATCTTTGAGGAACTCTGTCTGAGACCGTAGTTTTCATATTACACTGCACAGGTCATTCTAACCCTTCTTCTACCCTCTTTTACTTTATATCTTGACTTTTTTGTTTGTTAGCTGTCAACCAACATGCAGTTTGTAATACATATGCAACACCTGTAGATTATTCTTAGGCGAGGAAAATACAGAACAGTACTCCAACATTTTAATTTGATATATTTCCTTTTAAATTTGTATTTCAGCCACAAGGACAGAGTGAGCAAGTAAAAGCAGGGAGGGGATCACAACATAAAATTACATGTGCTTCCTGGCATGTGACAGAGGAAATACCTTAGATGCTATCTTTTCTTCTAGAGAAGAGACAGGTCAAAGCTGAGAGGGATTTGTTGTTCGTGTGAGAACCAGAGATTCCAGCAAAAAGCCACACTGTCGCCCTAATTAGTGAGGGGGAAAACCAGAGCAGCTGATGACCTGGTGTTTGTTGGTCAACTACAAACCATTATTAGGGTTTCTGTTCTCTAATTAAGAGACAATGAACATGAAGAGACATGAAGATCTGAGATGCACTAAGACACAAAAAAGACTTGATACTTTTTGCCTTCCCTTATGGTCAATGATGATTAGGTCATACAAACAATACATAAATATGAGATCATATAAAAAATAAACGCATAAAAGAAAATAAATAAGAATGGCTGTTCCTAGAGATGTCCAGCTTTGGGGTTTTCCGTCTTCTGTTATTCACGTGTTCTCTTCTTTTTGCCCCACTTGTCTCTCTTTAACCTTTAACAGGACACAAAATACAAAATTAGGGAAGTTATTATCTTTTATAGTTAATTAGCCTTCAAGCAGCAAACAACAGCAACATTTAAAATGAAAGTTACAAACTTTTCTGCAAGATTTGTTCCTTAAAATCCAGCTCAATGTCATCCAAGTGACAAATAAAACATTGTTTTAGTCTGACTTATCAGTAGCGACTTGTGTTTGTTTTGACATAAAAACCCAGAACATGTGGGTGTACAACCGGATTTCATTACTCAAATTGTTGTGGTAGATGTTTGTAGGGCATAAGGAGTCTAAGTAGTTTTGACTGATATCACATTTGGAGGCTTTGGTGTACGCAGAGAAAAAAAGTAGAGCGATGCAACATGGTATAATGTAATACTGGAATCTGATGAGATTTAGCTTTGATCTATCCCTTCAAACAAACATCTGTGAGCATGTGTGACTAAAAATCTGTTTTTAGAGTACTTCTCCAGCTGCTAGTCAGGCTGTGAAAATGGCACTGAAAGGAGAGTCTAAAAGTACCTCTTTGGTTTCACTAGAGGCCCCTAAGGAAGCAGCAGTCTCTGTTGCAAGTTCGATTATGTCAGATAAAGAACTGATTTGTTTAAGGTTGAATCGATTTGTGGTAGGTTATAAAAAGTCATGTCAATTAATAACATTAACTGTTACTGTTGCGGAAAATCTCCTTAAACCTTAATTCTTTTGGTTACAATAAACTAATCGCATTATATCTAATCCTTAACAACTGTCCTTAATATACAGTTTTTGCTGTTTGAAGTCTAAGACTTCCTGAACGAAAGAAAAGAGCAACGTACTGCAGACTTTTCAGATGCCAAAAAAAGCTCAATCGACAATCTGACTGAGAACAAATTTTAATATTTGACAGTAGAAAGAGATCTAGAAACCAGGTGAGTGGAAACAGCAAATTTCTGTCCTCCCATCAATGGGAAGCACTGACCTTAAGTGGCTCCACTCGCTCCATTGTGAGTCACAGAGGGCATCCTTGGCTCGGATACAGACAGCCTTTGACCTGCGCTTGACCTCAAACTGACAGATGCCAGTAGATTGCACCATCCTGGTCTAAATAATAAATAAAAATAAATTACATCACATCACAATAAAAACATTGGCTTTTTCTTGTGTTTTTTGTGCAGTTCCTTTATTATTGGTGGGATTTTCTGTCATTCTGCAAAAGTATTTGAAAGTAACTTCAAAGTTTCCAAATCAATTCAAGTCTTTGAACACAGAAACAGTTGGTGAATTCCTCTTACCTTGGTGGCTTTCGAGTCACTGCACGGGTTAACACACCCCTTACATTCCTTCTTGAGCTGTGCAACCTGGAAAGTGAGGGGGAAGTAGGAGAAGGGACTGCTCCAGGAACTTGGGTAACTCCACTCTATCATGGTGGTGTTGACTTTGCTGACGTGCACCTTGTCAGGTTTCACTGTGGTGGGTGAAAGAGAAACATGTAAGATGTCAAACAAAGACAGCACTAACACAGAGATCAAATACATAGCAAAGAAATTTAAATGTGTTTCTTTGAGCGGTATCTTACCGATCTCTGACAGGTAAAAATGTTTGGAGTAGTTCTCCACCAGGAAGTTCTCTGTCTTCACATAGACTTCGATGTGGATCCGCTGGCTCTCCTCAGCATAGGGGCAGCGTTGCTCGTCCTGGCAGGAGAAACCATTTCCACTATCGTCCACTGAACATCTGAAATTACTGTGATGTGAGGAGCAGCTCCAGTGTTGACCGCTGGTGTCAACAGAGCACTGGGTCTCGTCAAAGGCACTGCATAAAACAGCAAAGAAATATGTTTTCTTTTAATTCTAGTAATTTAGTAGTTTGGCTTTTTTCATACTAACAAGCTAGAATGCCTTTTTATGGATGAATATGTGAAGAAGCTTAAAAATTTGGAATGGATCCAAAAACACCAAAAACTACTTTCCTCTGTTTCCTTTCATCAGGAGTTATTTACTGCGTAATGTTAGTGCTGACATAAGTCAGAGCAGAGTGGTTTTATTGGAGAGCAAACAGAAACTTTTCAGCAGTTTGTGGAGCTTACCGTCTAGCTCTGATGAACGCCACAGTGCCAACTCGACTGCTGTGCCAGGTCCAGGAGCAGTGAAACTCTCCGCTGTAATTTTGAGCAGAGCACTTCAAATAATCTGCAGAGGAGTAAAAGCACATTAATTATGAGAGACACAAACAAAAAAATAAGGAAAGAAGAAAAGTATCACTGGAAGTTAACTGTAGTATCATAGTGTTAACGATGGGACTGTACCGTTATCAGTTTTCTGAAGAATCTTTCTCTTCATAGTTTTATCTTCTTTGATCAGGACCACAGTGTGGTTGAGAATTAATCCGTCCATGCTGTGGCAGGTGTATTTACCCCCTCCTAAGCTTTCCTGCAGCCACACCCGATATGTGTTTCCTCTCTGCGTTTCTTTCTTTCCGTCTTTCATCCAAAAAATACCCAGACTCTCATTGCCTCTCCTTGCAAGCTCCTCTGGCTGCAGGCAGCTCAGAGGCAGCCAGCTCTTACTGCCGTCGACCTCTACAACCAAAACTAGAAAAGAAAAAAAGGATCAAGAAAAGGATCAAGAGTCTCCGTTTTAATTATGAAAGAGTAAAAGTGGAATATTTTACATCCTTTGAGAGTGAACATACCATGAGGCAGCAGAGTCCATTGGCTTGTAGGATTTTGGTGACTGATTTGTAGGAATGTACATATGATGCTGAAAACATGTAACTTCATCTGTACAATAGAGAAAACATTAAGATATAGTTAGTGCGGTTATGAATGCAAATGATTTAAGAATTGTTTAAGAGAAAAAGAGAGAATAGGAGGAATTAATGAAAAGTATCCAGCACAGAATGAGACATGCTTTGAGATATTATCATGAGCTGGTAACGATTTAATAAAACAAATAAATGTTATTCAATAATTCAAACAATGTAACCATCTTTAAATGATAGAGAAATAATTCAACTTAAAGCAGGGCAGCATAAATAAGTGCAAAGTCATACCCATCACACAGAGTAAATAGGTCTACCTTATAAAAATCAGACTGATATTAATTTACTTTAAAGATTGATGATACATTTCAAATTAACAGTCCTACCTCATCTGATATAAAATATAACTTTATCAAAGAACTATTTGTAAAGAAAAGGAAATGAAAAGACACAAATCATTTTATTCAAATCAATTGCTAGTTACCTGAAATATGCTCAAAGTTATATTGAAAATATCAAGGTACACTGCTGATCACCTAATTACATTAATTTCATACATTTATAGATCTACTTGAACATATCTTGTACATAGTTTTTTTTCTACACATAATTCATTAAGATTTATGTTTATATAAAACTGTTTTTGAAGAGGTCTCTTACCTTTGCAGTCGTTTCCAGAGTAAATGGCGTGTCTTTGAATTGTGGTCGACTTTTATACTGCTGACTGTGTGACATTTCAATTTCCCCCGCGGTGCCAGGACTAGAAAAGTCCAGAGGAACTTCGCTTTCCAACAAGCAGTAAAGGCAACATAATGAGAGGTATTTCTCACCCTTTTGCGGAGGTTTTTCCACGGAGTATTGTCTCACCCTGCATTCAACTTACTTACTTTGACCCTTGAAACTTCGTACAATTTAATGTTACAGAGCTTATTGAGTGTTTGTCGCCCGGCCAGCTGTGCTTGCGATGTCAACGTGCATCACCTGTTTGTTTACTTTAAGTCTGGCACTTTTCCTATTTTCACTTTCATTCCAGTCACCACCCTTGGTTACAGGTGCTCACTGGAGCAGCTGGACGCGTAATAATGGTAGCGAGCACAGGTTGTAAATGCCAGGTTCACGCGACCTTTGGAGCTACCCCAATTATTATTTTCATTATTTTAATTAACGGCTTTTCCTGCAAAGCCAAACCTACAAATTAGTTACTACTACGAATTAGAGAAAGATTAGCATGGCAAATCACGAGCCTTCAATTATTGAACATACACAACCACAAGAAGTAGTCAACAAGTATGGCGCCCTGTGAACTTTGGTAACCTGACTTCACCTGGTCAACCTAACAACTGGGCTACGTAATGTGTTTCGAAAAGTGATAGAAGTGGTAGTGAGGAAGTGGTAGTAAATCACAACAGTCGAAGGAACAAACATATCATCGTATCATGTGGCCAAACTTTACCTGTCATCCCAAAAAAATGAACGTAAATTGGATGTACAGCTTTTGTGGCTAACATAATTGCTCGTGCACGCTCACTCGACATGAGGGCTATCAAATTTCCGGTCCGATTCTTTCAGAATAAAAGGGTGGCTTAACTCCCAGAGATAAAAAAATAAAATAAAATGAGTGAAAGTTTACAACAAAAGGAAGCAAAATAACACACAATTTTGAAATAATATAGGCACTTCCTTAACCTTAAGATCTTTTGAGCACAAAAAATCTAATCAACACTAGCCCACCTTTTTGCCTTACATTACATCATGATATACTACTTAATGAGATAAATATTCCAGCATACAGCTTTTTTATAGGTTGAGTTACAATTCAAAAGAATAATCAGGAATAGATAAAAGAAAATCTTTAATTTACTCTGTCCTTTGGGATACATGCAATGTACTGCAATAGTTTGAATAGAGTACAACACAAATGCAGACAACAGAAATATTGATTATGGATCCCGGACATCATAGATGTAATTGTCACTACGACATAGATTATATTTTCTTCTTTCCATTCTATTGCGTCACTTTAGGCTTTGCAATTTTGTGTGAAAATACATCCACAACAGCACTAGATATGATCATCAATATGACTGACTTTCTGAAGTATTGTTCCCTATTGTCTTGATTTTGTTCTTGGTATTTCCACTACCCTGTTATTTTCAGTTTCATTGCATCATCTGTTGTTGCCCATGAACAGGCACACAAATGGGTTGTATCATAACAATGATGTCACAGAGGTTTTTCAGTCTGCATGCCATTTATTGTGTGTCATATTTAAAACAAGTTTGGCATTGCACAATTACGATAATCTTAAAACCATCTCTGCAAAAGGTTCCTTCAAAGTGAATCCACCTATGAGGAAGTCGATATAAAGGCTAACCAGGTTAGAAAAGGTTTTCAAAAAACATGAGCAAGTAAGGAGATGGGTGATCTTATCATCTCTAATATTTGGCCATCATTTTTATGGAGAAGCTTTTGCTTAATGATTGTTCCCCAGTCAGAAGGTTAGTGGCTTGATCCTGCAGTCACCTGCGATCTCTGTGCTGAAATTTCCTTGGGCACTCAACCCCAAATAGCTCCAGAGCGCATATCTGTGTTCTGTCTGATCCTTAGGAGCAGATTGGCATATTGCAATGTAGTGTGGACACTCTTAAACACTACATTATTTACCATTTGATACCTTACCTGAAGATTTGTATTTCACACAGGAGCTGAAATAAAAGCAACATTATAAACAAACTGCAATTTGCGGAAGGAAGAGCGTTACTGTCCACCTGAATAGATACTACAAAACTAAAAACTGTCATTGTTATTCGCAATTGACGAGTAAGAATGGGACAGCACTATAATTTCCCTGGCCTCTTATCACTGTTTGGTTTACACCCACTGAATAATATCGAGAGTTCAGGTGTAGTTACTCACAAGAGCAGTTTCTCTATCTCTCTGTTGGTACTTCCCACCGTGGCATCTTATTTTTCCAACTTCTTTCAGATTGAACTTCGGTGTTTTCCCCCACCACTGTCAACAAAACACAGAGTGACAGTTTAATATAATCCGACAAAACGGATCATGACAAACACTGCATTTAAGCATTAGTGATGTCACCTGATGTGACCTTAATGAAACCTCAGGTCTCAGTTTCATGACCTGAAATGTTTGTGGCTGGTTAACAGGTCAAATTTCTATCAGAACTTGAACGTCTTACGACTTGTATTTGTCTCCTGTTCCTTTTTTTATGCAGTGTGGATACATAAATACCTTTTTCATTGTATGTCTCAGGCCACTTTTTCATTCATTTTGATTCTGTGAGGAACAGCTGAAGTTTTCTCTGTGTATCTGAAAAACATCAGAATCTTTTTCAGACACACCATGTTTTATTCATCTTCATTAAACACTTGAAGTACATTATTAGATATGTAAATACTGAAATAGCCTAACAATACTCCTCAAAGCTGTGTTAAAAGTGATTTTTAATCAGTAAAGAAATACACCAAAAAATGCTATTTCAGATCTGAAATACAGAGCATAAACACATTAGAGTGTGTCCATGATTCATAAGCCTATTGATTTATTTGCTTGATCTCACTTTATGTCATCATATGATAAAGTCATAACCATGATTATGAAGTGACAAAAAACTCAGCATGAGATCTTCAAGGTGTCATTTAAACACTGCTCTATATATTGTGTTGGAGTTCTCTCTATATAACGAGCCAATGACTGTACTGTACTTAAAATATGGCACTAAACCCACAGTTAAGACAGTCATGTATAACTCAGGGTATTCCTAACACTACATTCACTCAGCCTTATAATCTAAAAAAAGAATAAATAATGATAAATAATACTGGAATCAAGTAGTGTGTCTCACTTTTAAAACACTTTCAACAACAAGAGCAATACAAAATAATTATCTTTACTAGATATCCCATTTTATCTAAAATCTAAAGAAAATAACTAAACTTTTGTTAACATTGAATCTGTTACAGGGCCCTAATGGATTGAAATATGCCACAGAATAGTGGAGAAGTTTCCCCTATCTATGACCTGCAGAGACATTACAATTCAGATGGTATCCTCATTAAAACCCTGAAATCTTTTTGAGTTTTTACCAATTTGAATCTCCTCTGATTCATTTGTTCATAATTTCTAGAAGAGGCCAAATACAGTTGTTTTAGACTTTGTTTGGGGGCAATGAAAAACACAGACTATCATTTTTTTAGGCATGTTCAGGACGAGGGTCTGGTACTTCTGGTATTTTAAAATCAATACTGGGCTGCTAATGTAAGAGCAATGGCAAACTGATGTGGGTGATTCAAACTCATCAATGTTCAGTTCTGCCTCCCTCTGGCTAAAACTAGACCTCAAGTCCTTAGCTATACCATAGGCCTCAGTATCCTTGATATCAATCTTTCATTTGCCATAATTTTGTTGAGAATTCTTTTTAACTAAAAATATGATCTACTTCAATTCATTTAGTGAGAGAAAACATAACATATTTTGACTCCACCTGTGAGAGGCAAACTTTAAGAACTATTTTCTCTTTAACCAGAGTATGAAACTAGCACATTGCCAAATTTATTTCTCAGAGAAGACATTATCTGTCTGCTGTTTCTAAGTTGTAAGAAAGGGAAACGCTCTCAAGAAAACTATAGAGGACTGCACCATCCTAGATTGCCGTAACTAACATTGGTTGGATGTTATGTAGTGATATGAATGTTTTTCATTTCCTGCAGGGTTTGTATCATTCTTCCTTTCTGTGGAACCCTGAAGGCGGGTGTGCGTAACTAAGGTTTAGGTCATAGGCTTTGATTTTTTGATATTGTTTGGTTTATTTTGTTATCAAGAAAGGTCACGGAATAAACACAGCTGAATAATTCCTACTGAATGACTCCTACTGGAGTGCCATACATGGATGTTCTGCAGCTGCTGAGAATTACACAGCTGGGTAAGACACTGTATTAGCTGGAATTTCTCCCAGAAGCCCCCAGATGGTAACAATTAACCATCAACAAAATTATTCTCTCACATTTTGGAGAAATTAAGCAAGTATTTCATGCAAACCAGAGTTAAAGTGTTACGTATCAGGGTGTACATTACAAGTCCGCTGTCCAATTGTCATGGAAGTGAGGATAACTGATGTGACTGACTATCAGCCAAAGTAAACTGATGATGAAATGATCACAGCAGGTTTCTCTGAGCTGGTAGTGAAAGAAAAATATACTTTCTGTGTGTAATGTTTATATTTATCCAGCAGGTGTCTCCAGAGAGTAAGAAGTGCCTTAGTGCGACACCACAGGGCAGTTTCTCTTTGCAGTAGAAGTTATTTGACCCACAGGAAAAAAATCCTCCATAAGTTCCTCTCGTGGTTTGTTCTGTGGAGTACTCTGCACAATCTCTGTTTTATCATTACATCACACATGCTGTGATTTCCGTGTTTCTTAGCTCGGTAGGGATTCAGATTAAATTGAGTGTGTCTAGTGCTCCTGCTAAGGTGTCATATGTGGATGTTCTGCAGCTGTTGAGAATTACACGGCTGGGCAGGAGGCTCTGTGTGAGCAGGAATTTCTCCCAGATGCCCCCAAATGGTAACAGCTGGACCGAAGTCAGTGCAATGATCTCATCAGTGAGAGGGATGGAAAGTGGAGGAACAAAGAGGGGAAAAAAAGAGGATACAGTATAAACGTAGTGTGGGTGTGTAGTAGACAGAGAAAGTGAGATTAAACGTGGATGCAGGAAGA